CCTGAAAATTACCTCAAACTATCTGAAACATCGAACATGTTGGGATGTTCGTGAATCTATTAAGGGTGGATGGATGGCTGTGACGTCAAAGTAATCAGCCAACACGCTGAAAAGCACCTGAAGCACCAACAGCGTGCGCTCCAGTTGCTGCGGGACAATCAGTGAAATGCGGAGCTACGGGAGTGCTTGATTTCTCTAAAACAATCCTGCATCCTACTCTAGAAAGTGAGCCATCTCGGGTGGAGACTAAAGCAATCAAGGCGAGGCATTTACCTTTATCTACCAGCAAAGGCGCTGACAAGTAATGGACTTGCATCTTCTCACCAGGAATTCAGCTTCAAATTTGTTCTCTGGTTTGCCTGATCTGCAAAAGAAAATGCAATCCATAACCTGCACAAAGTTAAATGATGCGGCAGTAACGTCGCCCATCGGCCACCTTACACCTCCCGTGCTTGAGCTTCCCCTGATGCTAGTCAATTTTTCCAACAGATGTTAGTGACGCTATGGCGGAGTTCGTTATCTTCCAACAGGCCATGCACCTTTTAAATACCAATTTTTTTCAACATCGTCTTACCAAATACGAGCAGCGGTATCCAGTAACAGGAAAACAAGTATGCGAAGAAACGGTGCGTGATACAAATGCCGCTACTATTCATGTGGGCTTCAGTTTGCTGTCCAGTCCGACGACCACTCTTTAATCTGCCCTAGAGTAAATATCAAAGCTTTGATTATCCATGAGTTGTTCACAGACTTAGCTGCTTCCTGCAGTTCGGCTTTACAGTGAAGTATACCACGGGCGCCATCAGCGTGCTACCACATGCTTTCGCGAAGCTGCAGGGATTCACTATTGTGCAGAGCCTCCGTTCTTATCTGTCTTCATATACGAATTCTACGAGCATGGCGTTGGTCGTATGCTTCTGACACCCATGCATCCCTTTTAATTGTCAAATCCAGAATGACAAGGGTGAAACACTTCCACGATGCGAGTGGCCTGCAGGGATTGAAAACATCGTGGGGACTCCTTTGTTTGTACATTCCACCTATCATCTACACTGCCGGTCTGGTCAAATCATATGGCTACGCTATTTCGGGCAAGGGTGGCACACTACAGAGGAAAAGCTCTCACGGTCGTTTTCGTAGACTGCTGTGCTTCCCGCGGCGAAGAACTATTCACTACAATGCCCAGATTGTCAACAGCTGAAGCCGCTCGCCTCCCCCAAACTGTGGTTTCGCACGAATTATTCAATCAATCTTGCATATTGTACTGGTATAGCTGTAAAATCGATTGTTGGGGTGACGGAGATCAAGGGGCAGGATAGAATGCACTTTGTCGGCACACTCCGCACTACGCCCATTTCATCCCTGGCTCCAGATCGATCGCGGCCCAGGATATCGCTTAAGCATTGCTAGAAATTATTTGAAAGCTTTGTAGAATCGATCAGTGCGCTTTGGCGTGCCCTTACAATCTGCCTATATATCGACAATTTCATGACATCTGCGAACCACTTTAAGGTAGAGAAAGGGATTGGGCGCACACTGCACTGCGAAAAAGTCACCACTTGGCTCAGGAAACTTCAACTGCTTTGCTTTTTAAACTTTATTGTTCTAAGTTCGTTAATAAAAACATCTATTAATTGAGTCCATCCATTGCCCTTCCGGATCACCTCTCTAGAGTGAAGGCCCCTTTTAATTCGGACCTCCAAGTGGTGATCTTGGGGCCGCAGCCACTCTTGGCAGAAAAATAAGTTATTACGCAGCTGGCCAGTGCACAAGAATGTATGTGAAAAGCTCAAGAGAAGCAGCCAAGCACAGGTCAGGATTAGAGGAGGGAGCCTCAATTTGGACCAGGCATACTAAAGGCCAGGGGATGGATAAATATTTTATAATACTTATGGTGAACAGTGATCAGCTATGCTTTTGAGCATGATGATTTTGTCATGATGGATCGGCAGGCTTCACGAGGTACACTGGAAAATGACCACATGAAGTTTGCGGCGAGGTGGCCGGGATCACATGCGGTTCCCCCACAAATCAAAGCCCTTTATAGGACTATCAATTACCATTAAGCAAAAGTTGTCACAAAGCTATTAAAACTTAGCTTCTACACAGAAAAAAAATACTCAGAATTCTTCGCACCCTTCGGCGCGCGCAAGTGACCCCTGTCGACGAGGATTATTCAACTGGAGCCATAGAAATGCTGAATTGTATGACTATTAAGCGCCGAGGGCACACGAGGCGGGCGTGTCGGGGAAAATGTGTGGGCAGCTCCAATCTCACCTAATTGACGTAGGAGCTCATGCTGGCTCAGCCACCTGCAGGAAAATTTATGGGTCTGGTTGATTATCGCTAGTCGCCATGGACGGGATTCCTTACGTCCCTAGGAAATACTCCCTGCACAACGCATGCTCTGCACTAAATAGCCGCCTAATCTACGGTATATTTAAGTAGCTTCCTGCTCTCATTGCTGAGGTGTTCTGTACACGCAGTTTTGTGTAGAAGCACTGTCAAGTATGTTTTGTTTGCATTCTTCCATAGGCCTCTTTTGAAGCTTGCAAAAATTGGCTGTGCTGTATGCACCGGCCATATACACATATCGAAATTGCTACATGAGGCATGGAAATGCAGCAGAACCAGTGTGTACCTTGATCACCTTTACCCATTTTACTTGCTTTCTCTTTTTCGTACTGCACGGCTCACATTTCACCGCTTTCAGAATTGCAAGCAACAGCTTCACGGGGGCCACGTCCGTGTGATCCAACGTTCCAAGTTGGCAAGTGCATGTTTCTTTATTCTGGTCGATTGCTATTTAGCGGTTGATGCTGTCCTGCATGAAATTGGCCTCGACCCACACTAACGGAATATGGCCTTGGGGTGGTAGAAGTAAGATGCAGCAGGCTAATCCACTAAATTAGTTTCTACAGCATTAGTTATCTCTAGCTACAATTTTGAACATAATTGACTGAGTGCTTTATTTCTTTATGCACCTTATTTATTGCACAGCACTGCCAGCTCGACTTGAGAAGACGCGGTACTGTGTGCTGGTGCGCTCGATGATATGGGGAAGATGTGAATTCTCGGAATGCTTCAAATATGCAGCTACGCGCATCCTAGCTATCCCTCTTTCCTTATGTAGGAACTCTGAGGGACGCAGGAGTGGGGAGACTAATCTCAAAAACAGCTTAAAATCTTCCTGTTAAGTTTGAACTAAGTTTGTAGTAATAAGCCTTTAACGAGAAGGAAGGCACATCTTGGACCGGCTGATGAAAATTCCTCACTTTTCCGGTCGGCATAACCTCATCAGCGTATCCATAAGCACTTCACCGGCTTGAAATTGCGCCTTTCTACAATCTATGGAGCTATTATGTTTGCGTCGGCGTGTAGGCCGGCCTGTTCCGCCTTAATAGGGGCAGTGCCACCGTCTGCTTCCATCGCCAGAGTCTAAATTTTCCCGCCGGTTGCTAAAGAACACAAGAATGCTTAATTACTAAATATCTTGAACAATACGAGGCAATCATTCTGGGCAAACATGGCTTCACAATGCATATACAGTCACTGAATGGGCGGGGAACATACTAACCGAACCAAGCGATGCTGCCATCTGTGCTGCTTTATCTAAGGTCACCTTGAGAGCATAATTCCAAACTCACGACGAACTTCAGAGTTATTCAATATTTTAAGGAAGAGATCTTCACTCTCATCTTGCCCATGCCACTCAGAGCTCTTGCATGAGGAAAGAGGGATACTTAAGGTGAGCGTAGCTGCATGCTCAAATCATCCCGAACTCTCGCAGCTGGTTCCCCATAACATCTAGCGTACACGCGCACAGCACTGCATCTTCTTGGAACGAATAGGCAGTGCTGTGTCATATTATGGTGCATAACCAAACAAACCAATCAGTCAGCCCCCTAAGATTTTTCAGTCGACATAATAACAGTAGTAAAAGGTGTCAAAGTGCACCGTAGTCCACTACCTTCACGAGAGCTTAAGTAGGTACGAAGTTGGCCACGTTGATTATGCACGATACAAGGCAGAAGCCCAGCTACGATGAGTTGAACTGCCACTCAGTCGGTCTTGAGAAGCTTAAATTTACGATCGATACATTTCGATGGAGTTCAAGCCCAAAGCCGGAGGCATAGCCAGGACGGTGCCTGGGGCGACGGCCATGGCTGGCGCGAGCTGGACGCGCGAGCACTGGTAGCAAGAGATCTTGTTGTTCCCATCAATCATACACAATACGCGCATTGAGTGTGCCGCGTGCGGAAGACATAGTGGGATCTCCTTGTACACAGGTTCCCAGGAAGCCGCTTTGCCCGCCTAAGGAGCTGCCTTCCCTGTGCGTAGTGGCCACCCCACATAGAATATCAGACGAAAAGCATACCGATTTGTCCTTTTGTGGGCACCCAAAAAGCCAGTAGCTTAGTGCCTGCCTGCATACAGCCTGCGGCCCCTGCTTGAAGCCTCCTGGCCCTTGGTGCTGACTCCCTCCCTAGGCTGCGGGTTCAGAGTTTGCATTACGAGCTAAAACATGGACTTTATATTTTGAAAAGGGCGAAGGCGCCACAGGGCGTACTAATGGACGCTAGGTTCCCCCTTCCTCTACTAGAGTGTACAGTGGCGGCAGACCGTGCATGCAGTTTGGCCCACCACAACCCCTTCCAAGTAACACCCCATCCTAAGACAACGGTTGCATCGCGAACCTCGGTGCCCCGCTACTCAACCCTGTGATTACTGATCTCAGAAATATGCTTTCTCTGATCACCCTTCAGGCTCTCCACGATGCTCGCTCCTGACGGACGGTGAGAGAAGGGCGCAGCTGCACGCCTTCCACGCGGCCACCCTTGCGTATGGATACCAGGCACGTGGATGCGACCCCCCATATCCACTCGCAACAGAAGCAGCAGGACGCGTTTCAACCTCAGATCCTCCCTGTCTGCTTGGACTAAGCGGAACCAGCGCTCCTCCCAGTCTTGTACAGCAGCAGCAACACGGCCCCAGCCGATATGTCTGCGGCGTCGAAGCCGCCACCCACTACTGGAGACGCTACAGCCGCTGCTGCTCCGAGCAGCGCCTCCAGAAGTGCCTCACCTTCCGCAGCGACAGCAGAGGGAGCTGCAACAAATGCAGCGGCCGTCGAGACAGCCTCCGTATCGACTGTCAAGAGGGCTGCCCTCGCTGCCCTAAGGACTGCGGAAGTCGCGCCTTCCAAACGTCTCGCCTCCACGCAAGACTCTTCATCACAGCCGCGTCGGCCTGCGCTGTCTGAGCAGCACCAGGAAACACCCGCCTCCTGCCCCCCTGCCGCATCCCCAGGCGCAGCCTCGCCTGTTTGTGTGCCTCTTGGAGCTCGGAGGGAAAATGCTGGAGAAGCGTCCTCAGCAGCAGAAGCACAAAACGCAAATGCCTTTCTTCCCATGGGGTCACCTGCACCGCCACGTCGCATCCATCAGCAGCTCGAAGGAAGCCTGCTAGGCCAGCCGGCAACGCCCCTTGCCTCCGCTCGAAGGAGGCTGCCTGCTGGAGCAGCGAGTTGCGACAGTGCAGCCGCGGAAGTCTGCGCGCTAGAAGCTGTCCCTCTCCCCTTTCGGAAGGGCTTTAGGCGCGTGGCTGGAGCAGCTGGCCTCCTCAGGCTGCCACAGCTGTCGCAGCTCTTCGGCTTGCTAGGAGATCTCAGAGCGCCTCTCCCTTTGTTGCAGATTGTGGGGCCTGCAGGCAGCGGCAAGAGCTTTCTGAGTCGGCTGCTGATGAGCGAGTGCAGTGTTGCCCACGGATATGCAGATGCTGCGACAGCCGCAGCAGTGGATGGATCGGCAGGCCGTCATCTGCTGTACTTGGACCTTCTGCGGAGTCTCGCAGTCTCTCTGAAGGAGGAAGCGGAAGCGTGCTGTGCGCCTCTGTTATTGGCGCAGCAGCAGGAGCAGCAGAGCAGGGGAGAGGCAGGGGCCGCGGGAGACGCCGCCGCCTCGTCGGAGATGCAGCAGCACTTCGCCGCGCTGAAGCAGCAGCTCAAGCTGTTGCAGCAGGAGTGCAGCAGAGCAGCGAAGACGGGAGTAACTACCCCGGACGGCTTCGTGGAGTCTCTGGGGAGGCAACTTGCAGCTTCAGCGGCAGTTCTCGCTGCTGCGGCAAGTGCAGGGGTCGCGGCATGCGGATGGGAAGGCGCAGATGCGGCGCAGCATGAAGCTCGAAGCAGGGCATCAAGGAGTGCAGTGCTACTGGTGGATGGGATGCAGCCTCTGCGCCAGCTGATGCCAGAGCTGCTGCAAGCCTTTCTGAGGCTTCCTGAGCTTTTGTATGGAGGCGCTACTGCAGCATCAGGGGGGGAAAGCGGCACCAGGAGCTGCCGAGGTGTCTGTGTGATTCTGATATGCCGAAGGCCTCTGGCTCCAGAGGCTTTGGATGGTCTTCCTCCGCCCCCCCATGTGCTGTTTCGAGCGTACGATCGAGATGCCGCTTCCTTTGTACTGCAGCGCAGCTTCCAGCAGCTGGCGCTGCCTCTGCTGCAGGTAGCTCTTGAATCTGCTCCCCCCAACTTCCCGTTTTCTCTGCGGATGCAGTGGTGCCTCCCCGACCCCGCTGATCAACTGGCGCAAGGCGGTGCAGCGGCAGAGGCGGCAGTCGAAGAGGAGAGCGGAGTGTGGTTGGTTTCTGCGCAGTCTGGAAAAGCAGACGTGTTGGCCATATGGCGGAAATTCTGCGGGGATGTTTGCCGCTGCCTTTATCAGCATGCAGCGAGTGATTTCTGGCAGCTGCGATTTTTGTGTAGAGAGCTTTGGAGCCAGGCGCTGCAGCTGCTGCTGAGGACGCACCAGCTGGGCTCCCTCGATTTGCTGCATGAGCAGCTGCGCAGCAGCTGTGCTGCTGCCGCTGCCGAGCCGTTTTCTCGCTTGCTGCCAGATCTCGTGGACTGCAGAGTCAGCAGCGCAGCAGCAGCCAGCTTCTGGGGAGGGCACTTGGCCGCAGCAGACAGTGCTGCACGGCTGTTGCAGTTGCCGCGGCTGGCGCGTCTCCTGCTGGTCGCTGCATTCCTCGCGGCATACACCCACCGGAAAGACGACAAGAGGCACTTGGAGGATGCATTTGGCAGCGGCTTGATGCTGAGAAGACGCATCAAGCCGCGGAAGGCCCCTGAAGGGGCCTTTGTTGTGCTTCATGGAGGGGTGTGCGTGCCAAAGGCATTGCCCAAGACGTTTTCGCTGATGCGCTGGCTGTGCTTAGCCGAGATGCTGCAGCGCCAGCCTCTGGTATTGGAGTGTCCTTCTCTCCTGCAGCATGTCAGCTGCCTCCTCCGACTGGGTCTGGTGGCTGTCCATACACCCGCGCTGCTGCTGCAGCAGCGAGCAGCTGCTGCTGGCGGGGGACTCACCTGGCTGCACACTGCGGGATGGCTCGTTCACAAAACTAGGGAGGCTCGTAGTATTCCGGCGGCAGCGGCTGCGGCTGCTGCTCGGGTTGCAGCTTCAGGGGGAGGAGTTTCTGGGGGCGGCTCTGATCTCCTGCATCCTTCGGCCAAACTGACCCTCCTCGCAGACACGGAGGTGGTTGTTGGTGCGGCTCAGAGCCTTAAGCTAAAGCTAGACGAGCTACTGTAAAAAAAGCAGACAGACAGACCCCAAACCCACCCCTGCATTTCCTCCTGGTATCCTGTACCTCATGAAACGTAGCGCCTCAAGAGGCCAGGAGTGCTTGGTGGTTGTTGGTGCGGCTCAGAGCCTTAAGCTAAAGCTAGACGAGCTACTGTAAAAAAAGCAGACAGACAGACCCCAAACCCACCCCTGCATTTCCTCCTGGTATCCTGTGCCTCATGGAACGTAGCGCCTCAAGAGGCCAGGAGTGCTAGCAGCCTGCTGAGACGTTCCGAGTTTACCCACAAGCCGCAGCGGCTAAAAGGAAAACGCTCCGTTACTGTCGCCTCAGCGAGCCCATGACGTAGTATTCCCCCCGCAGCGTCACTGCCACATTCATCAGAGTGCACTCAGCTGTGTGTACGTGTTGTTGACGTCATAGATACACGCAGAGAGCGCACTAGCGTAGGGCCCACCAGCACCGCGCGCAAGAGACTGCAACAACCCTTCGCAAAGCAACTCTCGCCAAACGCTTGAGCAAAGCCCCCCTAGTACAACAAGCACATCTGCGAGGTGCGTCCACCTGAGGATGCCAAAGGTGTGGCATCCTCAGAAGCAAGCTTACGGGGTCTCTACTCTGCAGCTGCTGCAGGCATGCGTTCTCGCGTTGCTATGCGCATTTTTGTCTGGTCTCTAGTTCCACCTTTTAAAGTTTCGCCTGTGTCGCATTGCATCCTAGACTCTGAATCTGTTCTGCCTCCTGTCCTCAACAGGTTTTATTTTCTCTAGGTTGCACTGCCGCCCTCTAAGGGACTACAACGACCAACCTGCCTGCTTGCAGCGATCTGCGTGCTCAGCAGCAGGGAAGGCCGGCGAGGCTGCACTGCACGCCAGAGGGCTTGCTATTTCTGGCTTTGTTTTTTTTATGCAACCACCGCACCACACCCAACTGCTGCAATCGTTATGGTTAAATAATTCGGTTGCCTTCTCCTGATAACCGCCTTTTCCGCCCGTACCACTGGTCCCATTTAAAAGTCTCACTAAAAAATTTGGTGGTAATTCGGCACTGGGGGGCCACCGACACCTGCACCTGCACCTCTGTACAGCTGCAGCGTTACTCACTCCGCTCAAATCGCTTGTCACAAAAGGCAACACCATCGTGGGTATATTACATATAAACACACATCTACTGCCTATACATATGTATATATATATATATCTATATATATATATGCAGACTCGGCAGCAGCAAGGCGCTGAAGCGACTGGCAGTGGACCCTCTCACCACTTCGCCTCTCCGTCCTACCATACCCCTCTCTACGCAAGTGGGTAGTGCCTCATGGCTGCTCAGAGGACTGAAACAAACAACTCCCAAGAGAGTCTTAGACACACACAAACAAACGCAGCGACAGCAAAGATTATATCCGCGGCTCCTGCAGCAGCACGGCACATGCCTCAGCGAGCAGTCCTGCTGCTGCTGCTGCTACCAGGTTGCTGCTGCGGAGTTGCAGGCGCATCGATAGTAGCCACGCTTCTCACGCTGCTGCAGCTGCTGCTGCCTTTTAGACGTCCAATGCCTGAAGGAAAGTACAGCAAGCAAGCAAGCGTAACACGTTCGTCCTCTCTCCGTCTCTGCACTGACATCCACACCCCGTACGAACCTCCTCTCTGCTGCTGGTGCTCGACTAGCTCCCACAACGCCAGCCACAGCGGATACACCCTGACTCACCCCTTCGTTTCGGCGCATAGGCCGCTCGCAGCTGAAGATCTAACCCGCCCTCAGGGGTAAACCTGCCGGAGAGAGCCTGCAGCAGCGGAGACTGCATAAGTGCGGCAAGCCTCTGATTGCTGCTGCTGCTGCTGCTGCTCGCTCCTCCTCCAGAAGTACTGCGAGCCTTTACCAATCTACGGATAGCTGCTGCAGCAAGTGAAACGTTGGCGCTTCTCTTGCCACTGCTGACGCTGCCTGCTGCCAACGAAGAGGCACAGTCGGCGGTTCTGCTGCCCGCCACGTTCGAGGTAGCTTCGCTTAGCAACGAACACCTGTGAAGCTGCTTCCGCCGCTGCTTCTCTGCTGCCTTCTGCTGCAGCCGCACAGCAGCGGCCTCTCTGCCCACAGGCTCAGGCATCTTGAATCCTACGACTTCGCTCTTTAAGGAGGCTGAATCTCCCAGCACAGCGGAGGATATGCAAGGCGTAGTTGCTCCGATCTGCACCAACACTGGTGTGCTCAACAAAGAGCCTGCGCAAGACAGCCAGAGCGAAAGAAGTCCGACATAAATACAACAACAACAAGCAGCAGCAGCAGCAGAAGTCGTAGTAGGAGTGGAAGTGGTAGTACCCTTACCACCACCATTGCTATGAACCAACCCCACCATTGCTATGAACCACCACCATTGCTATGATCACCACCATTGCTATGAACCACCACCATTGCTATGAACCACCACCATTGCTATGAAACACCACCATTGCTATGAACCACCATCATTGCTATGAACCACCACCATTGCTATGAACCACCACCATTGCTATGAACCACCACCATTGCTATGAACCACCACCATTGCTATGAACCACCACCATTGCTATGATCACCACCATTGCTATGAACCACCACCATTGCTATGAACCACCACCATTACTACAAACCACCACCATTTCTATGAACCATCACCACTACTATAAACCATCACCATCACCATTACCAGTACCACCCACCACCACTGCCACAAACATCATCAAGCCCCTCTACTGCACACTCAGCGGTGGCTACAGCACCCGCAACAGACGGCAGCGAGGAGCAACAAAACACACGCACAAACCACCACGCGCAAAGACAACCAGCAGCAGTGCGGGAGCGATCGATCCCACCGTCATACCCCAAGTGATTTCATTCGAGGCAGGATCCTGAGGAGACTTCACGGGGATGGCAACGGGTGACTGGACAAAAGAATAACCGATCGGCTGCCCTCCTGGAAGATGCACATGTGTCTCTGTCGGCTTTTTTGGAAGAGGCCTAAACTCTCCTTGCTGCACAAGCTGGTGCATATTGCTCTGATCTGCGTTCACATGCTGCTGCCGGCGACGTTGCAGCTGTTGCTTCAGCTGCTCATGCTGCAACTGCCGCTGAAGGGTAGTAAAGCGGGTGCACTCAGACCGAACTTCTCCCCTACAATGACACGGCACGTACAAACACACATACACATACAGACATATAAAAAACATACATCCACAGAGAGTCCTCACATACACACACAGACATATACACACACATGCACACAGAATCCTCACACACACACATATATATATATATACATCCACAGAGAATCCTCACACAGACAAACAGACATATACACATGCCTCCACATCTATAGCTTCGCAACAGCAAGCAGACGCCGCAGAAAAGCTGCATATGACAACGTTCGCTGACGAATACGTAAGTCTCTCCTGCTGCCTGCAGACACACCTTGGCATCATATTTCGAGGATCGTCGTCTGTTTCTGCGCCTTTGAAAAACAGCCGTGTCGCTCCCGGATGAAAGCCTACAGCAGGCCCTTCTGGCACTGTTCGGCCCGCCACGGTGTGCTGCTGCAGCAGCAACTGCTTGCAATTGTGTTGCTGCTGCTGCTCCCAGAGAGTCTCATGCTTTTCTCGCAGACGCTGCTCACGCCTCTGCAAGAGCTGCTGCACACTGTGCTGATCCTCCGACACGAATGCCTCGAAAAAAGCATCCACAGACATGGGCAGGGGTGGCTGCCGCTCTGGCAGTCCCCCGTTCTCCTCCTGCAGCAACGTCAGCAGCTCCTGCTGCTGCTGCTGCTGCTGCATCTCATGCTCGGGTGCCTGCTGCAGGCTTCCCTGTTGCTTATGCTTTTGCTGCTGCTGAAGTTCAGTCTCTCGATGACGCCTGCCCAGCTCCCTTGCACCTAACTGGTCCCCTGCTCCACTCTCGTCCTCTTCTGCCTCGCTGCTTGTGCTGCTGCTGTTGCTGCATGCGTCTACATCGATGACATCGTGCTGCAACAGCATGCGATCTTCCTGTTTGACCTGCTTGAGCAGTAGCACCTCGCACGCCTCGCTCTCTTGCGAAGCCTGCAGCTGCTGCTGCTGCTGCTGCTGCATGGCATCCTCCATCTTCTCCTCTAGCTGCCTCGGCTCCCTCCGAGGGTTAACAGCGGAGTCGTCCAATTCCTGCTGCTGCTGCCGCCGCTCTGCCGCTTGCATGTGGAACGGGGTTGCTGCCGCGAGGGAGGCAATTTTCTTGGAAACAGCCTGCACTGCAGCAGCGTCGTTGGCTCCTTCTGCAGCCATCAGCTGCCGCAGCAGCCGCAGCAGCGGCAGATCCGGGAAGTAAGCCTTCTCGATGGTTGCAGACAAGGAACGTTCCCAAGTTTCCTCGTCAAGAACAGTCCTCCTGTCTCGCTGTCTCTTTCGCTTGATCCGCTGCACCCTTGCTGCAGCGCAAGACGGCAGAAGCGACTTCTCCGAGGCATTGGGAAGGAGAGACAGCTGACCAGGATGCAATGAGTCCGCTGCAGCTGCTTCCTCCGACGCTGCTGCAGCATGAAGGCGTGCAGCTGCTGCTACGCAGCCAGGCGCAAGAATGGGCGCCTCATGGCTTGCAGTTGCAACGGCCAGTGCAACGGCATTGCTGCTATCGCTGCTGTTGCTGAGTGCAGCACGCACCTCGGCTGGCGAGGCTACAGGCTCCCACCCTGTTGCCGCTGCTTCTGGATGTTTTCGCCGACGAGCAGCGGCTGCAGCTGCTGTGTTTCGACTTTGCCTCATAAAATTCGCAAGGGTCACACCGTCGCGTAAAGAACTCGCAGATCCACGCTTGGGAGGAGCCAACGCCTCCACTGGCAACTCCCCCAATACTTCTTCGGGCATGGGAAGCCCTTTACTCTCGACGTCTACACGTCTCTCCATCACTGCTCTTCCTTCTGCACTTGCTGCTGCTGTTGTTCTTCCTTCTGCACTTGCTGCTGCTGTTGTTCTTCCTTCTGCAGTTGCCACTGCTGTTGCTCCTTCTACAGCCGCAGTGGACGCAGAAGGCAGCTGTACTGCATCACAGCCATCTAGGACTGCACAACAAACTCGAGAGTCAGCCGTAACACCAGCAGCGGCTGCACCTGCAAGCGCAACAGCCGCCGTTCGCGGCAGCGGAACAGACGTTACAGTTGAAGGCACGCCACAAGCATTCGGCAGACTCCCATCGCAGCCTTTCCCCTGTTTGTTGCAACGGCCGCTACTCGCTTCCCTCCCCTCCACGCTCTTGCCCTCTGCACACAATGAGGTGACGACCCAACTCTCACCAGCTAGCATTTCCGACAGCCTCAGAGCACCTTCTACGCCTCTGGCTGGCGCTGCTTCCGGTGGAAGGGCAGCCAGGACTGGCGATTTTCTTCCATCGCCGCCTTTCCCCTCTGGCTGCGGCATTCTTAGCACGCAACTCTAACCGGCTGCACTTGTTGCTGCTTCACGGACTGAGGCTTCCGCAGTCCATACGCTCAGGAGGCACACCCTGACATCTCAAGAGACCAGACACGGGGAGGCGCTGCAGCGATGCAGCAGCCGCTCTTTGCACAAACTCAGTACGGCGGGAGGTGCTTGCAGCCGTGGCCACTCCCTATCTACAAGCGACTCCGGTGAGATGAAATATATTGACAGAGGGTGTGGCAAGAAAAAAAAGGCTCTAGGGGAAAAGAATGGGCGCAAAGGCGGAAAGACTTCCATGCCGTGCATGCCGCTGCTGCTTCATCATCGCTCATGATGATGGAGCTGCTGCTGCTGCTGCAAATTGCGGCTGCGGCGGCTGCTGGTGCTGCTGCTGCCCGTCGATGCTGGTCTCTGTGTTTGTTGCTGTGCTGGCCTGTATATCAAATAGGAGGCTAAATATATGTGGAATAGAGAAGTAATGCATAGTACTTTCCTGCGTGCTGCCGGGGAAGTACAGCCGAATATCTAATGCCGATCTTTCCGCCATCCCTGTTGGTGCTGCTGCACTGCTCCTGCTGCTGCTGCGCCAGCGACAAGAGATGCTGAGAGAGGGCTAGGGGGGGCAGGGAGGAGGAGGGGTTCCAACGCGTTCCTTAGGCTATTTTGGTGGTTGCCAATGCATGCCTCTTAAGAGCCAGTTCGCTCCATAGAATCATTTGCGGTTCGAAGTGCAAGACACGGCGGCAACAGCTGCAGCAGTCGCAGCGGCTGCAGCAATCGGTGTGCGTGCGAGGGTGTGTGCGTGTGTGTCTTTCCTTGAGTGCAAGGTTTTCCGGCTGCCGTCTCTCCCTCTCTTTGTCTCTCTCTCGGCTTGCCAGGCGTCGATCGATCCCACATTCAAAATGTCTCCCCTAGCGAGTCGCTCCTTTCTGCTGCTGGTCGTGCCTTTACTGCTTCACCTGCAGCAGACCGCCGGCTTCCGCATGGGCAGCAGTGGTGCTCATGCTCGAGGAACTGACCTGCAGCAGGGGCTGCCCTCCCCCGCGGCACCCCCTCTCGCGAGTCTGCAGCAGCCTCACCACGAGTCGCAACGCGCGTTCGCGCCATCGTCCACACTGCCTCCTAAGACAGCTGGCAGTCTCGCCTCTGCACAAGCTGGATCGCTATCAGCAGGCTTAGCAGGTGGAGAAGAGCTGCTGGGCGGACCGCTGCCCGTCGATCTACGGGGAAAGACAGCCTTCGTAGCCGGTAAGCTGACCGCATGGGCTAGCCAAGAGCAGGCTTTGTCGTTTGAAGCTACCCTTGCTGCTCGTTCATGAGGAATGTGCTGCTGCTAGACTTGTAGGCCTCCCTTCCTCTGCTGCACTCAGGGGTGGCAGACAGCAACGGCTGTGGCTGGGCAAGGAATGCGCTGCTAGACTGCCAGTCCTCCCTTTCCTCTGCTGCGCTCTCAGGGGTGGCAGACAGCAACGGCTATGGCTGGGCGATCTGCAAGCTGCTCAGAGCTGCAGGCGCGCGCGTGCTAGTCGGCACATGGCCTCCCGTCTACTCCATCTTCATGAAAGGTCTCGAGGGCAGTCGCTTCCACGCCGATAGCACCTACTCCCAGGAGCCAGAGGGCGACGCTGAGACGCGCGAGGCGGCCGAAAAGATGGTCGATATGCAGTTTGCCAAGGTTTACCCGTTAGACGCAGTCTTCGATACACCAGACGACGTGCCCCCAGAGGTGACCTTGCCTGCCCTCTTCCCCCAACGGCGCGACTGCTACCGCCTCTCTGCATTCGCGCTCAATAGCTCCTCGTCTCTTCCCTCTTCCACGTTTCGGATTCGACGTGGGCGCTCCGTGTTGCGCGTCTGCCGACTCCGACTCCTCGGCAGCCTGCAGCGTTCCAGGAGGTCGATACCACTCCTGGTTGCTGGTCATCTGCTTTCTTCGTTAAAATCGCTGGAATGTTGCGTGTCTGCTGTGCCTGAGGGATCAGATCGCGAACAATAAGCGATACGCTGGTGTGGGGGGATACTCCATTTCCGAAGTGGCCGCCGCCGTGAAGGCCGATGGAGAGCAAATCGACATCCTCGTGCACTCCCTTGCAAACGGCCCCGAGGCGAGAACTCTAGAAGCTGCGCTTTAGAAACTGTCTGCTTTCTTTAGGCTGAGGCTGAGGGCAGCCTTGTTTCCCAACGCGTCCCTCCCCAGGGGGACCGGTCTTTAAGTCTGGCGTGTACGATATATATATATATATATGTGGGCATATGTGTTTGTGTGGCCATATCTATATACATGTATGTGTGTGTGTCTGTGGGCATCTATGTGTTTGTGTGTGTGTCTGTGTGGGCCTCTATGTGTTGATATTATTGCACGCAGGTGACGAGGCCTCTTCTGCAAACCTCGCGAAAAGGGTATCTTGCGGCAGTTAGCAGCAGCAGCTACTCGTTCGTTTCCATGCTGCAGCACTTTCTGCCCCTTATGAAGAAGGGCAGCAGCGCTTTGGCCCTCTCCTATATCGCCTCCGAGCGGGTTATTCCAGGTGCGCCATGGTATGCAGAGCGGCGTAAGGCTCGGCTTTCTTGCGTGGCGATGTATCAGAGCACTCACAGCTCTGCTGCGGGTGTGGTGGTGCTACGCTACAGGGTATGGTGGGGGCATGAGTAGTGCAAAAGCTGCATTAGAGTCGGACTGCCGCACGCTGGCCTACGAAGCGGGAAGGGCCGGAGGCGTGCGGGTGAACTGCATCAGTGCGGGGCCTCTCAAGAGTCGCGCAGCCTCGGCTATTGGCAAGTCGGGAGACAAGACGTTCATTGATCTCGCGATCGATTACTCGAAGGCGAATGCACCCTTGGAGCGAGTAAGTGCCTTCCAAAGGGGCTCTCAAGAGGTCCTGCACCCCTGGTTGTTCGCGGAGGCTTGTTGCACTGTTGACACTGCCGCACCAGACGCGCAGGCGTCGGTGTGCCCAGTAGCTTGCGCCAGCCGTAGACCACCGTCTGCTGTCTATCTTGTTCATGGGTTCTGACCTCTTAGGACTTGGACAGCGACGATGTGGGCCGAGCCGCCCTCTTTCTGCTCTCCCCTCTGGCGCGCGGCGTCACAGGAACGACGCTGTACGTAGACAACGGCCTGCACGCGATGGGTCAAGCCCTGGACTCCAAGGCCCTTACTCCATGAGGCTGGATATCTTCAGGTGACGGCGGCTTCAAGATTGATGCAGCGGGCATGCGCAAAACAGTTTGTCGACGGCTTTTGCCCCGCTGCTAGAGCAGCGCGAGTAAGAGCTCCCAAGAGTTCAGGGGGTCAATCTGCGCACCCGCGCACCTAGTAGGGGCTTTAGTGGTGACCGAACAGACTACCGAACACTGGTTACCCCGAACAACCGAAATCCCTTTGTTTTGTAAGCCACCCCACAGTGAATGCAGCACGCCAACTGGCGTTCAGAGGCCTCGGGAAACTCAGTGCGCAGCAGGGCGCAGCGGGGTGCGGAGCGCATGTATGAAAGCAGTAGGGCGTACACTCCCGATAAAATGGAGAAGAGAAGTGCAATGGTGCAGGGATGGCTGCAGCCCGAACTGGAGTGCCACTTTCCATCAAGAGAGCTGCAGTCCTACTTGGCGGCCCAGCATCGTGCTTCTAAAGGCAACTGCAGCATGAACACTAGATGTTGCGCTAAAATGACGGACACCTGAGGCCACACAGCAAGGGCATTTGATGCCACCCGCATTGCATCAGCCTAGTTCTTTCTGGCTTGGAACTTCAGAACATCTATGTAACACGGCCCTTGTGCGCTGCCGGTGGCTGTGGTGGTTTGAGAGGCGGGCTACCCCTGCATGCTGCGAGCCCCCACGAGAAAGCCCCATAAAAACGGAAAGCCTTCGTGCTGAAATGTCTTTGGGTCCAAGGTTGAACCCGGGGGTTTTCACTAAGAGCCTTGCAGCTTTCTGTCGCTTGCTTGGGACTCCCTTCTTGGCCCTAGGGTTGCTCAAAGCTAGCTTGCAGTCTCCTGCATGCCGTATCCCCCTAATTCTGTAAGCTTTGCTGCCGGAGGGCTTGGTTGGTGGTGGTCTTCTGCCGGTCCAGCCACCAACCTCGCCCCGCTACTGCCCGACAAAGCTTTTCCCTGCACGCGACGCCAGTCGGAAACAATTGTCGCTGTATACGCGGTGACGTCACAAAAAGGCTGAGCCAGCATTCACGCTGCCAAACGACTTCAGGCAGCAATGACTTTAATAAACACACATGAAGGTCTCAGCGTCCGGGCGCGAAAGGCGAAGTGCGGTCGCCAGCTCCTGCAGACAACGCGCTAGCAATGAAATACCGAAGAAATGATAAATTGTGTCGGCGTAACGATTCGAATTTCTTCCTAATTACTGAGCTGTGCAATTTTCACTCATTATTTCTAAAAGACAAGCATCCATAGGCGCTCCAATACCAGCAACAGCAGCTGCGGCAGCGGCTAATGCTGCAACTCCGCCTGAGCAGGTGACCCTGAGTGGACGCAGCAGAGCGGTCTCGACACAACCCCAGAACCTTTCCGTTTCCCCCTCCTGCGATGAATTCGCTGAGTGGGGTTGTCCGGTTATTTCTAAAGGGTTTTTAGCGAAAACTGCTCCGGCGGAAGCAAGAACACCTGAACGAGCAGTAGGTAGCGTAGCTGGGATAGGCAGTGAGCCTCGCCACATCGCAGTTCTTGTTGCAGCCAGGGCTTCCGCCCCTTTTTTCCATAGCCCAAAGGGTCTCTATGGATGTGCTCATTTGCAGTCCATCCGCGCGCAAGGCTTCCGTTCGAGGTACTCTGCCGCAGCAGCACCAGCAGCAGCATCACAGCTTCACCGAATCAGCCGGCAGCAGATGCTGTACACCCGGCGGAGGCAGCAGCATGTGCTGCTACCACTACTACGTGCTGTGGTAGCAGCTGCGCTCCTACTGAGCGTGATGGACCTGCAGCCACGCACCCGCAACCCTGCGAAAGCCGTCTACCCCCACCTCCTTGGTGGCTATGCAGACAACAGGTTCCCTGGGCAGGACGGCCAGACTGAGGCTGGAGGCAGCGAGAGCAATGAGAGCAGCTCCTCAGCAGCGCCTCCCGCGAACACAAATACGCCAGGTATCTCGCCGACTCAAGAAGCACCAGGGTCGGCTGCGGACGCTCATGGTGAATCTGCTGAGCGCCTCGAGACGGAAAGTCCACTCAATACCCATTCACCAGGTACAGTCACATCAGATACAAGGGAAGCGCCGAAGGCTGACTCCCATGCACAGAAAAGCAGTGCAGCGGCAGGTTCACCAACCACACAGGCAGGTTCATCAACAGCATCAGCAGGCTCATCAACAGCATCAGCAGGCTCATCAACAGCATCAGCAGGCTCATCAACAGCATCAGCAGGCTCATCGACAGCATCAGCAGGCTCATCACCAGCATCAGCAGGCTCATCAACAGCATCAGAAGGCTCATCAACAGCGTTCAGAGGTCACACACACCCGGCTGGCCCCGAATCAGGTTCCCTGGAAAACGCATCATTGGAAGCAAGAGACGAATCAGAAGCAGAAATTTTGTCGGCGCCTTACCTGATGCGGCGTCCATACAGTCAGAAACGGGGTGGGTACTTGAAGGTGCCGCAGTCTTTCCTAGATAGGAGGACGGATCATGGAATGACTGAGGAAGAACTTGAAAGGCAAATCGATCAGCTTTTTTCCCTCGACCCCGAGCAGATAGATCGACAAAGCGCGGCTATTGCTCGGTACGACGAGGCCGCATTCGTTCTTGCTGATGATCCGAAAGCTTCCAAAGTTTCTAAACTGGATGTTCGAGGGGTGCAGCCCCCTCTTGAAGCTCAGTATCGTTCATTCTTTTGTTCTGTGTTCCCATGCTTCCTCTCTTCTCTCTCTTCCTGTCTCTCTTTCTCTCTGTTTCGGCCAAAGTGGTCCTGATGCTGCAGATCCTCGGTCGTGTGTTTTCGTCATTCTTGCATGCTGCTGCTACAACTCCAGCGTGTCACGTGTTTTTCTCGCGTCTCCACCTCGCACGCTTGGCTTTTTGTCGTTGTTGCAGGTCTGTGGAGGCCTCTCGGTCCCCAGGTTATCCGAATGGTCGCATTCTCATTGGAGTTACGGATTTGCATTCTTCGGACAGAGACTTCGAACAGCTGCTGCAGCGCCGCTCCGAGAGCAGCGCAAACAGCAAAGACAGAAATAGCCCAGAAGGCCATCGCATCAGCACGCGGGCAGAGGCTGAAGCGATGGGCAAGGCAGCCATCCACGGGGATGAGCTGCAGCGGCAGCAGCTGGTGGGAAACATCAAGGTGTTGCCAGAGGTAGGACTGGTGGTCATCGATTTCAGTCCAGATTCCTCGGAGGCGCAGATAAGAGAGACAGTCAAAAGCATATGGATGCGATCCCCCGCGGCGTGGCTCATTGAGGCCGACTCAGAAGTGCAAATAAGAGACGGCAGTCCAAGACCGTTTGTGGCTGCAGCGGCGAGTGCAGCGGCAGTGGTGGGAGACGCAAGGATGGAGAACGACGTGGAAGTGGCAGTATCCAGAGAGCCTTTTCGGTTTGACGCTGCAGCTCATAGACGGCTGATGGAGGAAGACGACAGCCTTCCAGGCCTAAGCGCAAGCAGTCGGAGCAGCGCGACAACGGGCACTGCTAGCAGCAGCTCCAAAGCCAAGCAGCAGCAGCAACGGGCAGAGAAGGCTGCGGCAAGGAAGCAGAAGCAGCTCGAGGTCAAGTCGCTCCAGGCAGAAAAGAAGGCGCACACGAAAAAGGAAGCAAGTGTCAACAGCGGCGGCAAGGATTACGAGCGACCCCAGAAGAGTAAGCCAAGCCGAGAGCCGCGAGAGGCGGCATCTTCGAAGAACCACAAAGTGAAGGCGCAGCAACACTCCGAGAAGCCGACACACGAAAAGCAACAGGCACAGCGCAAGAATGCATCCCGGCAACAGAAAGGATCCAAGACGAAGGGAGAGCTGCAAATCGATGCGGACGCTTCTTCCACAGCAACGCAGCAGCAATTACCTGCTTCGCAGCTAGGCCCTGAGCCTCTGGCGGAGGTGTACACGAAGCAACTACAGCTTCCCAAGACACTAGTTGCGACACCGGAAGAAATGGAATATGGAGGCAACATTGAGCGACGTCTTGAGGCCAGTAGTGATGCGAAAATCGCATCATCTGGGGATTTGCGCTCCTTAGAAAAAGGGCTGCTGATGGCGGAGGCGGGGGGGTCTTCTGGGAAGAGGCAAGCGTCTCTTTCTCTTTCCAGAAAAGTGCCGGCAGACGCGAAGCAAAGGGCAGCCACAGCAGACACTGCATCCAAAGAAGCTACAATTGCCGCAGCAGACACTGCATCCAAAGAAGCTGCGATTGCCGCTGCAGACACCGCATCCAGAGGAGCTGCGATTGCCGCTGCAGACACTGCATCCACAGAAGCTGCGATTGCCGCTGCAGACACTGCATCCAGAGAAGCTGCGATTGCCGCAGCTTTGGGGGAGGAAGAAGAAGCGGAAGATGAACACACACTCGAGCAGCGCGAGGCGTTTCTGAGCGATGCGCATGCAACTCCAAACGACCTGTTTTTTAGTCGGCAGTGGGCCCTTACACACCCCAGCCTCGGCTGCAATATGACGGATGCGTGGCGGCTCGTGTATAGGAGCAGGCAGCAGCAGCGGGAAGCCGTTGCTGCTGGACTAGCAGCTTCGAAAAAGAAAGCTGAAAACATTATTGTTGCAGTGATAGACACAGGGGTTGACTACACCCACGAGGATCTCAAGGGACGCCTCTGGAAGAACTACAGGGAGATTCCCAATAACGGCATAGACGATGATGGTCAGCAACCGCCTGCTCCTCTGGGCAGCTTTGCTGCCGCTCCTGTTGAGTGTACATACACACGCACAGGCACACGCACACAGGCACACACACACAGGCACACACACACAGGCACATACAGGCAGGCAGGCACTAGCCTTGCCAACACGCCTGTTGTGGCGTTGTTGCCTACGGCTAAGGCTCCAATATCCCCTAGGTGGTCCTCAAGAATGATGACACCGCATCGCGCCTATGCCAGCCGCCTTTGCCGAATACTTTCTGTGCAGTGTTTTGTGCAGTTCTGCATAGAGTTGCCCTCGGTGTGCACGAGGTGGTTCGTCTGCACAAAGAGATTTCGCTCTGTGTATGTGTGTATCTGTATAGATATGTGTCTATACATGTATATATGTGTGTCTTTATGTGCATCTGTATAGGTATGTGTGAATCTGTATAGGTATGTGTATGTACGTGTACATATGTGTGTGTATGTGTAGGAACATCTTTATGTGTACATCTGTATGTATATATGTGAGTCTGTATGTGTATGTACATCTTTATGTGTACGTCTGTATATATATGTGAGTTGGTATGTGTATGTACATCTTTATGTGTACATCTGTATGTATATATGTGAGTCTGTATGTGTATGTACATCTTTATGTGTACGTCTGTATATATATGTGAGTTGGTATGTGTATGTACATCTTTATGTGCACATCTGTGTACATGTGTGTGTGTATATAGGTGTATGTACATCTTTATGTGTACATCTGTATACATGTGTGTGTGTATATAGGTGTATGTACATCTTTATGTGTACACATGTATATACATGTGTGTGTATATAGGTGTATGTACATCTTTATGTGTACATCTATATATATATATATGTATGTGTGCATGTGTATGTGTATATCTGTGTAGAAAATGGATATGTAGATGACTATCACGGCTATGACTTCGAGAAGGGCAGTGCAGATCCCATGGATGAACATGGGCACGGCACTCACGTGAGCGGCATTGTCGCAGCTTCGGCAAACAATGGTATTGGCGTTGTCGGTAAGGCACTGATCGCTTGTCTCCTGCAGTGGCCTCCCCACTTCCAGTGGTGTTGCTGCTGTTGTTGGGGGTGACTGAGCTCCCTGTGGAAGCTCTGCAGTGCTGCGTTTGCACTGTGTGCCTGCGGCACAGCTCCGCCTTGGGGATATTCTGTTCTGGCTTTCTTTAGTGGCTTCTGATCGTGTTGCTGCTGCTCTTGTTGCTCTTGCTGCTCTTGTTGCTCTTGCTGCTCTTGCTGCTCTTGTTGCTCTTGTTGCTCTTGTTGCTGCTGCTCTTGTTGCTGCTGCTGTAGCTGTTTCTTCCTCTGCTGCTGCTGTTGTTGCGCTTGTTGCTCTTGTTGCTCTTGTTGCTGCTGCTGTAGCTGTTTCTTCCTCCGTTACTGCTGTTGTTGCTCTTGTTGCTGCTGCTCTTGTCGCTGCTGCTCTTGTTGCTGCTGCTCTTGTTGCTGCCGCTGTTGTTGCTGCTCTTGTCGCTGCTGCTCTTGCTGTAGCTGCTCTTGTTGCTGTTTCTTCCTCTGCTACTGCTGTTGTTGCTTCTTCTTCTCCTCCTCTGCATTTGCCAGATGCACCCAGCGTAATAAGGCTGTGGTGCTGCTGCCGCTGCCGCTGCTGCCGCTGGCACTGGGTTTGTTTGGTGTGGTTGTTTGCGCTGTTGCCATGGAGGGGCGAACTGGCGTGTGAAGCTGATGCCGCTGAAGTTTGAAAAGCGAAGCAGCGCGGCTGTGGAAGCCATCGCGTACTCTCTCCAGATGGGTGCCCGTGTAAGCACCAATTCTTGGGGTTTTTCCTTCCGTTCGGAGGCGCTCCGCTTGGCTCTGGAGCAGGCTGAGGCTAAAGGGCAGCTCTTTGTCGCAGCCGTAGACAACGCTGGTGCTGACAACAGCTCGTGAGCGGCCTTTTGGCTGAGCCCATCGCACTCTCGCCGACGCTGCTGCTGCGAAGTCTCTAGGGGCACTGCTCCGCCAGGCTTTGCTGAAGAGGGAGGGCGAAGGGAAGAAGGAGGGGAGAAAGGGGAGGGAAGCGGAGCGGCGTCATGAGGGGCAGACGCAGATGCAGGGGTGAAAAGGCTTTTTGTTGCAGTTGCGTTGTCTTCAGTTGTGCGTTTTCTTCAGTTGTGCGTTGTCTTCAGTTGTGCGTTTTCTGCTGGTGCACTTCGCTCAGGGCAAAAGATTTTCCTCCTAATTGGGGTTATGACTGGCGGACAGGCGCAGGCTTTAGAAATATGTTGCGGGTTGCAAATCTGGCACCTACTGGAAGACTATCGACTTCTTCTAACTACGGTCCGTCCGAGGAGGCTACTGTTCCTCGTTCTGCGCTTCCTGCTGCGTACAGAGTTTGTAGGGGGGGAAGGGGAGGGGGGGGAAGAATATGGGTGCTTCATCGCGGTGTGAACATTTAGGGAGCTTGTAGACACCCCTGGTTTGCTCTGCCTGCCTGCCCTGAGACAAACGCCGTAGGAGAGTGGCGGCAAGCGGGCAAAAGCGGCAGCAGCGGCAGCGGCAGCGGCAGCAGCAGCATTCTGAACCACCTTTTTTTCTCCTCCTCCTCTTCGCTTGCTTGCTGCCCGGCGACATGCCTACATAATACGGCCCCTCAGACCAAGCACTGCAGGCACTGCCTGCATGCAGTGCAGTGCGTGTTTGGCTATTATTGAGGCGGTTCCCTCTGTGCGGGTTAGGCTGCTGTGGGTGGTACATGAACGCAGGACAGTACAACGTCGATCTCGCGGCTCCTGGAACGGATATTATCTCCACCCTTCCAGGCCGACAATTCGGAGATAAATACGGTTACAAAAGCGGCACGTCTATGGCTACACCGCTCGTGTCGGGTGAGAAAGCTCCTCTGCAGCTCCTGGGCATGCATGTTTTACGTTTTCATCCTTATATCTATGCATGGGTGTGTATGAATACATATATATGTATAGCATCTGTTGCAGTCCTAGGCTTTGGCTCGCCGTATTCCTGCATGCAGCCCTCGACGGGCGTGTCCTTCTGCGCTGCTTTCTGCATGGAAGATCTTAGCAGCACCACCACCAACGGTGATGGCATGTATTAGAGTTTCTTTCAGTCTTCTTCAAGTCGCCTGCGTTGCGCTTGGCCTTCGTTTCGCTGCTCGCTGTGGATATATGTATGGATGTATGGATGTATGGATGTGTGTATTATGTATGTAAGTATGGATGGATGGATGGATTTATGTATGTGTATTATGTATGTGTGTATGTGTGTATGTGTGTATGTGTGTTATGTGTGTATGTATGTATGCGTATTATGTATGTATGTGTGTGTGTGTTATGTATATATGTATATATGTATGTATGCATGTATGTATGTGTCTGTGTGTGGTGTATGTCTGTGTGTGCATGTCTGTCTACCTGCCTGTCTGTCTACCTGTCTGTCTGTCTACATGTCTGTGCTTTGAGCATATATATATATGTATATATATATATATGCTCAAAGCACATGTGTGCATGCATGTACGTGGTTGGCATGCACAGGCATTGCAGCCCTCATATGGGCGGAACGCCCCTCGATGACGGCTGCCGAAGTGCGAGAGGTCCTCTTAGCGACTGCGACACCGTTGGCATCTTTGGAGAAGCTAGTGGCGGGGGGGGGGATAGTGAATGCGAAGGCGGCAGTAGAGTTGGTGCAGGCGCTGAACCAGAAGGACTTAGGCATTGATTCTCCCCTCGTTCAGGCCTTTGCCGCTTGGCAGAGGCAGCAATACGAAGATCACCAGCAGCGCGTTCTTAGTCAAACCGGCGGCTCTGCGAGCAGTAGCGTGCCATCGCTAGGCGGCCTTGCTGCGGCTATTCCCTCCCCAGCTTCCGTGATCGGAAGTGCTGCAGGAGCATCAGCAGCAGCAAACGCTGCCCCGTCCGCGGCAGCCGACAGCCTTGCAACTGGCGTGTACTCAGGAGCAAACGGATACGGCTATCTCCCTGCCTCGCCCCCCACCCCTTATTCGAGCGACGCTCACGAGGACCCCTGGCCAGCAGCTACACCCCCAAACTACGCCTCTGAAAACATGACAGAGGACTCCGCATACATGTCTGCACGTCGCCCCCCCCTTACAGGAGAGCTGAGCAGCAGCAGCAGCAGCACTGGCAACAGCAGCAACAACAAGGACTCAAATAACGCAGGCACCTCTCCCATGTCCCTCTTTTTAATGCTCCTCGACCCCATGACGCTCATCAGACGTTTCGTAAGGGGAGAGTGGCACGCCCTAGCTGCTTAAGGGGTCCACTTATTAAGGCCTCAAGAGACAGCAGCAGCAGCACCGGCACTGCCACCAGCAGCAACAGCTGCACACGCATCACGCTACACGCCTAAAGCTGCCCGAAAGAAAGACGCTCCACTTCTAATACCTACAGACTCAGAATTCTTCTTCCCGCCCCCCACCTCTCCCTTGCTTCTTCCCAGCTCTTTCTTCCCTGCGCCTTCCACTCACACAACACAAATGCATACCCACAAATGCATGCACACAAATGCACACCCACAAATGCATGCACACAAATGCATACACATGCTGCATGCGCCACAAGGCAAGCAGGCGCATTCTTCTGCTCGCGGGACGCCAAAATGTGTAGCCCTGCGTCTGCAAGGCTTTCTGGACATGCATTTGTGCAATGGCTTACATATATTGCTGTACATACACCTGCATGTGTACACGTCTACCATGCAGCATGATAGCGGATGCCTCGAGCTGTGGATGGCATGACCTTCAATGGAAATATGTCCTGCATCCCGAAAGCACCATGCCGTGGCTTTCTTTCCTCCAGTCACCTCTCTGTAGGGTCTGCAGTAGCACCCTGCATAGCAGAAATGCGTGTAGTCATCTGTATTGTACGCGCGCATACCTAGCTGCACGTCCGTGGAAGATATCACGCCCCTCGGTCGCACTTATGGGGCGTTCTTGCCATACATACGTATGCCTGTCTACACGCGGTACACGAAGATTTGCAGCCTCCTCCTCTCTCGTCGCATGCGGAGATGTTTGCGTGGGAATGCATTCTACGCTGTGTGCTTAGTGTGTGCCTTTCATCGCATTGCATTCGCCACAGCTTCCGTGTGGAAAAAGCGAGTACATACATCTATGTATACATGTATATGTATGCTTGACTGTCTATGATTTGCCCCCAACGTGCCTTTTCCGTACGAAATAAATCACCCCACTGCCTCTACTGCCTGTGGTTGCCGTGCTCTGCACCGGCGTCCTACACTCGAGGGACCTGAAGGTTCACTAGTGTGCGTGTGTGGCTTGCATGCATGTATGCAAGCAAGCACTGTTGCTTGTTTCCTCCGTCCCACACGCCAGCTGCCTGCTGGTCGGAGGAATCGATAAAACTCCCCCTGTGTGCTGTACATACGCTGCTGTCGCTTCGGTTCTACAGCAACCAGAGGCAACTTGCCGCAGGAGCAATGGGGCTGTTTGCTGGCTTTGAAGGGTTTGCGCGAGAGAACAGCAACGCATGCAGAAGCAACCGCCTTTGCGGCAGCTCCATAGGGTGCAAAGCAGCCAAGAGGACGAGGTAAAAATCCCAGGAAAGTGCCAAGCGCCCTTCGAGAAATGTAGCTGCAGCACCCCTCATAAAGGTCAACGACCTCCTGAGCATCACACGCCTGCCGGCAAACCGAAGAATATACAACTACGCAAATCTCAATCTGCGAACTTCCTCCCCTTCACCCCGCGAACGCTCTCTTGCATGCGGGTGTCTTCTGCCGCCGCCACAGCCGCTGCTCGTTGTGCGCAAAGTCGGCGGGCAGGCGGCCCCTTCTTCGCTCTCCGCTACTGCATGCGAAACATGCATGCATGGATTCCCATGTCTCTATGGAACTCTCTCCGCCCACTACGCTCGGCTCGAGTGGCGGCAGCCGCAGCTAGCGCTGCGGCTACCCGGTGAGCATGGGCGTGTGCTGCAGCAGCTGGCTTGCCCTTGCAGCAGCGAACCCCTGCAACTCGAGCGAACACTCAGTAATGGCGTAGCCAACGGCCATGCAGTATTTTATAGGAACAGCTATTAGTAGATGTGCAGCAGCAACAGCAACTGTCGCCGCAGCCGATGCCGCAGCGATCGCATGCAGCGAAGCCGCGCAAGGCGCCTCTCGTGCGCATGTGGAGCAGCAACTGCCGTGCAGCCCTTGGCAGCAACGTAGAGCCGAGGCTGGCAAGTTAGTTAACTAGCTAGCTATCTAACTTACTGACTAGCCAGGCAGCCGCCTCTACTGCAGCTTCCAGGAGGTAGTGGCCGTTGCGCGGCAGTCTGGTTGCTGGCTTCGTTCCCAGTGCTCCAAAAAATGCCTACTGCCAGTACATTCAACAGCCTCCGCACAGCATGCATGCAGCCCCATAGCTTGCATGCCAAAGCAAGAGCCATAAATAACACTACTACCCCACAGGCATGTTTACAAATCCGCGGGGGGAATGGGGAGGGGAAGGGGAAGAAGAAAGCAGGCTCTCAACTCCTGCGAGTTGCATCGCTGTCGACTCCGCTTGTGTCTCCTGCCTTCCGATTTTTCTTGTGTTTCTTAGGATTGCTGCTGGCTGCATCGTCTGATGAGGCTTCCTCTCGTGTTCGCTTCTTCCGGAGTTTCTTCTTCCGCTTGGCCTCTTTCTTGGCTGCTTTCTTGGCTGCCTTTTGCTGTCGCTTTGCTTCCTTCTTCTGCTGCTTCTGCTGCTTTTTTCTCTCGGCAACTGCCGCACGAATAGTGGCGTCCATCATGAAGAAGGGCAGCTCCTCTCCCTGCTCGCCTTCGCTGCTGCTGCTGCTACTGCTGCTGCTACTGCTACTGCTGCTGCTGCGGTAGCCATGCTTGCTGCTTCGATGCCGCTTCTTGTGATGGTGATGACTCTTCTTCTTGCTGTTGCCATGGCTGGTACTGCTGCAACGCTCGGTGCTGCCAGCAGCGAGAGGCCTCATCCCCGTCAAAGGGGAGAAGCCGCCTGAATAAGCCACGTACGCACACGCGTGGTTTGCCCCGAAGCGCAGGTGCTGCGAATCCCACGAATAAATGCGGCTAATGCAGTTTCTACGGGATGCGCAGCCTGATCCTTCGCTATACTGCATATGCTGCTGAAGGACCAAGGTTCAAGAGGTGGTTGTTGTTGCTGCTGCTACTACTACTGGAGATAGTGCTCGCTCACCCCTCGTTTCCGACATTGCGCTTGCAACAGCAAACGAGACGCAGAAGGAGCAACAACAGGATCCTGCGCTTATCTTGGGAGTTAGGTGGACAGAGGAAGGCAGTAAAGACGCTGGAGGTGTTGTTGCCTCGGTTCACCAGCGTCAGGAGATGACCCTAAACAGCAGCAGGAGCAGTTAAAGCTTTTCACTCTGTCCGCCTTATGAAGGCGAACGTCCTCGTTGCTCGCTCGCTGCTGCTACTAGCCTACCGCTATACAGGATGCAGCACTTCAGACACCAGCTGCGGCAGCACTGAGCGGGAGATGGAGTGGAGGAGTGTCTGGACAGCAGGAATGCGTAGGACACTGTTGTCTTGATCCTGGGGTGCCACTGAAAGCCAGAGGCTACGACACCGATGCATGCAACGCCACACATCAGCTGCTGAAGGAACAGCTGCAATGAACGCAATTCCCTCTCAGGCTCCAATGAATGATTAGGCAGTGAGCCAGCAGCATATCGTACATATGTCAACGAAATGCCTTTTCCTAATGGCGGAAGGCCTCTCCTTCCAGCCATGGCTACAGCTGAGATGCATACATACATGCATGCATGCATCTCAGCTACCGCAGCAACCTCAACACCACCCAGACGTCTGGCATGGCGACTCCCAATGCGGTTTTCCTTCTCAAGAAACGGGCTGATTTTCAGCTGCTAATTTTTGAAGATCCTGGAGCCTTCATCGATTTGCATGTGGGGATTAGCAGCTGAAAGGGCGTTTTTTCCTGAAGCCTTGTCACCCGCCTGTTCTTCGATTTCCGCCTGAGCAGCAGTCTTTTTGCGGAGGCAGGAGGCTGTGAGAAGCCGCGTCAAGCGTCGACAGCTGCAGGCCAAATACCCACGCAGAGCTCCAGTGCAGTCTGAGGAGTGGGAAAGCACAAGACACGACTGCTGAAGAGATAAGGCGGGGGGGGTGTATTATGGAGCAACAGTGCAATCGGGGGGAGTAGCAGAGTTAGTGGAAAAAGCATCAGGCCCCTTCTGCAGCACTGCTGCAACTGCAACGGCAGTGCCGATGGCGCTGCTGCTGTTGCAGCGCTGCAATACACCAGGACCAGTAGGACGTCGCTGCTGTGCCTTCTCGGGTGTACACTGCTGCTCGCTTCATGAGGCGCTCAGCAGCAGCAACGGCAGTAGCAGCAAAAGCAGCAGCGTCTCATGATCCATGACTGACGGCAGCAGCAGCTCTGATGCGCAGCTCCTCATGGCGCTGCAGCAGCAGGCTTCCCCGAAGTCTCTCGCTTCGATATACACCCTCAGGCGAACACCACTGCAGAACAGCTGTATTGTCAGCAGCAGCAGCGCAGCAAGCACGGTAGCCTCGCGGATGTTGCGCTGCACTGAAGCGGCTGCTGCTATGGGTTTGCTTCCCAAAGAAGCAGCAGCCAATACAACTCAGGAGCAGCAACAGCAGCAGCAACAGCAGCAGCAGCAACAACAACAACAAGGCCTCCAGCAGAGCCCTAAAGATGCAGCGGGGGCAGCACAGTGTGGTGTGCCGTCTCATATCCAGCAGCAGCAGCAGCAGTTCTATGCCGCTGCCAGAGATAAAGAACCTCCCCTTGCACTGTTGGATGCTGTCGCTCGCCATCACAACAACAAAAACAGCAACTTCTGGTGTGGCCCTAGGCGCGACCACGATGGAGCTTTGAGATCATCCTTTGTGCTGCAGCAGCAACAGCAGCAACAGCAGCAGCTGCAGCAGCAACAGCAGCAACAGCAGCAGCAGCAGCTAACAGGGACACCGCAGAGGCTGCCACTGCAACAACGGCAGCATCATCAACAGCAACAACAGCAGCAACAGCAACAGCAGCAACAGCAGCAACAACAACAGCAGCAGCTAACAGGGACGCCGCAGAGGCTGCCACTGCAACAACGGCAGCATCATCAACAGCAACAGCAACAGCAACAGCAGCAGCAGCAACAGCAGCAACAGCAGCAGCAGCAGCTAACAGGGACACCGCAGAGGCTGCCACTGCAACAACGGCAGCATCATCAACAGCAGCAGCAGCAGCAGCACGGGGACCTGCAGCGCGAGAATTTGCAGCCTCAGCAGCAACACCTGCTGCCGCATAAACAGCAGGGGAAGCCTCCGCAGCAGCAACAGCAGCACATGCACCAACAACACCAACAAGTGCAACAAGTGCAACAAATGCAACAGCAGCAAGTGCAACGACGGTGGCAATGGTGGCATCCTGAGCAGCAGCCACCTGCAGCGGCGCAACTCCCCTGGACGCGGCCTCGAAGAGCATGGGAAATCCTCTTGCCACAAGGCTGTAGCAGCAGCAGCAGCAGCAGCAGCAGCAGCAGCAGCAGCAGCAGCAGCAGCAGCAGCAGCCTCGTTCCTGGACAGAGCAAACAACCCCTCTGTGGATCGTTGCGTTGTGCAAATCCCTCAACGCCTCCCGCCCCTCATCGGAGGTTTCTGCAACAAAGCCGACAGACGAAATATCCACAGCAGCAAATGCAGTGCCAGCAATCGCTACGCCAATGGGGGATTCACGTTCAGCAGCAACAGCAGCAACAGCAACAGCAGCAACAGCAGCAACAGCAGCAACAGCAGCAACAGCAGCAACAGCAACCGCAACTTGTGCCTCGGATGCCATCGACACCGCAACGCCTCTCTGCAGGTTCTCCTGCCGACAGATTATTGCAACACCAGCAACCACAAGAACAGCACCAAGACTTTTCATGGTTGCGTGTGGAGTGGGGGGAGGATATCCTAGATCTTCTGGATGCTGCTAGTGCGGTGGTACGTGTGTTACTGTTGTTGTTGTTTTGGTGTGTGGGAGGCTTGGCTTTTGTTGCGGTTGCATCTCAAAAGTCTGTGCATTCATTGTGACGGAGGGTTGGTGTTTGTTTGCAGGATGCAGTGGCTTCTGGGAGCCTCGACTCCGCTGCAGCAGCTGAGTCAAGTGCAGCAGAAAAGACTGCGGAGATCGCTCTCAAGCGCGAGCAGAAAAGGAGAAGCAGCGGCAGCGGTGCTGGTAGCAGCAGCAGCAGGAAGTTGGCTGGCTGGGGATCTGCAGCCGCTGCAGTGCTGCGGGTGGACTTGCGAGATGAAGTCTGCGTTATTTGCAGCGAGTTGCTGTTGTTGCAGCAGGAAATAGCGTCTCTTCCTACCTGCTCTCACCTCTTTTGCTTTGCATGCCTATACAAGTCAGTTCCCACGGCCCTTGGGCACTTCTGCGGCTGCACTCGCTGCGCTACGCTGCGCCTCGCCCCTTTCCCTCCTTCCCCCCTTTCTCCCTCTCTTGCCTGCTGTCTTGTAGAGTGCGTGTATTCGCCAAGTGCCTAATAGCGTCCGCGGTTTGTGCATGCTACTGCTGCTGTTGCTGCGCTTTCACAGGTGGGCGTCCATCAGCAGCAGGTGCCCCCTCTGTGCAGCCTCGTTCACGACCATTGTCAGACGGCGAGTCAGCGCTCCTACTGCTGCTGCAGCTGCTGCTTCTGTTGCAGCTCCTACTGCTGCTGCAGCTCCTACTGCTGCTGCAGCTGCTGCTTCTGACAGCAGCAGCAGCAGCAGCAGCGGTGGCAAGGGACCACCTTTCAAGGGTTCCCCGGAAGTCGCAAAGGCGGAAGCGATCGAACAGCAGGAGCAAGCTCAGCAGCAACAGGCGCATATTTCTCCTTGCAAGGTTGAGGGCGTACGCGACGCGAGGCGAGCTCCAGGAGACTCTGCAGAAACACCTGCAGGCTCAGAACACCCCTGCCTTATAGGCTTGCAGCTCATGGAGGAAGTGCCTCTCCCTCAGCAGCAGCCACGCCGACTGAACTCAGACTCCGAATCGGAGCAGCGGTCCTTTGGAGGCTGTGAAATCTGCGGCAGAGACGATGACTGGGGGCGTCTGCTCCTCTGTGATGACTGCGATGATGCCTTCCACATCTATTGCCTTGCACCGCCCCTGGCGGCTATTCCTGCAGGGGACTGGCGCTGCAGCAGGTGCCAGCAGCACAGAGGCACGCTGCAGCAGCACCGTCCACAAAGGCGGCAGGGACGGCAACAGAGGCGGCAACAAGGCCGACCGCAGCGTAGGAGACGGCGATGTACCACCAGCAGCACCAGGAGCTCAGCCTCTGCAGCTGCTCTTCAGCCTAAAGCGCACAAGCGACTCAAAAAGGTAGCCGAAACCACGCCCCCTGCCAACAGCAGTATCAGCAGCAGCAGTTCTACTTGTGGTAGCAGCAGCAACAGCAGCAGCAGCAGCAGCAGCAGCAGCAGCAGCAGTCGAGTTAATTTTGGGGTATTCGAGTACACTGGCAGTGCAAGGCTGAGTCCGGTCGCACCTGATGCCACGAATACGACTGTTGGCAGCAGCATTGGCAGAAGGCTACTTCGGGGGAGGCCTGCAAGAAGGCTACGACGAAGAACATCAAGCGGCGTGGAGAGTTGCAGTGATGATTCCTCAGATCTGGATGGCTTCATTGTCCGCACGAGCAGCAGCAGCAGCAGTACAAGCAGCAGCAGCAGCAGCAGCAGCAGCAGCAGCAGCAGTGCGGACAGCAGCAGCAGCAGTGCGGACAGCGACAGCTGCACTGAGATTTCGCCTCAGAACTCCCGTGCACGAACTGGCAGCCGTCGAGCTCCCAACACCAGTCGCGGGAGTAGCAACGACAGAAGCAGCAGTGCAGCCGCTGGCAGAGAGATAATGGGCACCCCGCTTTACGCGGCAGGGAGACAGCAGCAGCAAAGGAATCGGCAACCAGAGAAACAGCGGCAGTCCGACGCTCAGCAAGCGAACCCTTCAAGGACTGTGGTACCTGCATCACCAAGTCTGCATGCAGGAAGCAGCTCACCGCGGGAGCAGCAGCAGCAGCAACTGGCACGACAGGTAAGCCAACAGGAACTGCAAGGTGGGACGCCTGCCAGCAGCCGCGGAGGGGTGCAAGCACTGCTTTCCAAGTATTTTATGACCCCCGTCCGCAAAGGCACTGCTGGAGGCAGCAGCAGCAGCAGCAGCAGCAGCAGCGGCAGCGGCGCAACATGTTAAGAGAGGGGGAGACTCTTGGCTGTGTGTTTGTCAGCACTTCAGATCAAAGTAAACACAAGTGGGACTGGACGTAGAAACGTCCCAAACTGCTTTCACGGGCACGCACCCTAGGGTGTTAGAGCTTTTCCCGTTTGATTCCTTAGGGGGATCAAGAGTCCACGTTAAATCTTCACGTCATTCGGATGTTGGGTGCTGGTGGCACCTCTGCTGCTACTGTAGCTGCTTCTAATGCTCATTCTTCGGATAACGATTGCTGCTTCCCTGCAGGGAATAGAGGTAGTTTAGCGTCCCTGTGCGTAGGACTGCGGGATTTGTGCGTTAGTATCGTTTGCAAAAGCAGCTCCCCATGCATCCTGAAATTCTGAACTTTCGCGAGGTCATCATGATTGGAAGAGGCACTTGTGCAGTGCTACTGCCTAGTCCGGTAGGGGCACTCGAGATCAACAGGCTAGGGCCGGGGGAGAGCACCGGTAGCAGCTGCTCTAGCAGCGTCAACACTCGATATAGCCTCTCCGCACTCGGATCTGCGGGCTTTAGGCCTTGGTCAAAGAGTTTTATAGGGGCCTATCTAGAGCGCACAGGGATACGTCTGCTGCGGATCTGCCCATACGGGGAATTAAGCGCGCACCCTCACAAAGCGCTTACACAGCCAGCAGCCACGTAAGGGTTGCAGGAAAGTCTGCACATGCATCGTCGCTCTCCCAACGCTTCCTGTTCTTCAGGCAGACTCAACTGCCCTTCGCTATTTCACATATGGCTGGCATGCGGCTTGCGGGCTCACGCGCCTCCGACACTTCGCACACTTGCGTTGGGCCTTCCTATCCTCACGGTCTGTGACAGGGAGCGCCCAACTTGCATGCAGGTCGAAAATATCGCGTCTATCTTTTTCAGCTGAGCAATGTGCATGCGGAGTGTGTGGCTCGGCAAGGCCCTCAGGCTGTGTCCAGGACTTACAAGCTCCATGAGTTGACGAAATGCACGCCCATCGAGTCCAGCGGTGTCTGCCCACATATACAAGTGGTGAAAAGGCCAATTTCGTCTCTGAATACTTAAGGATTCTCCATTTTCCGTTTTAATTGTGTGCTGTGTGGGCGAAGGGGATCAGAACGAGAGGTGTTGCACTCCCTTTTCGCACTTGCAACTCGAAGTTGTGGAGCAAGGCGGGCTGCGGGAGTTACCATGGAGGCGAATTCGCTTAAAGGTGACACATCCATGAAGCTGTTTCCTCCACGCATATGCTGCCCCAAAGTGTAACGCGGCCAGTTGTTTCCCAGTGCGCGGTGAATAAGACAATCCCTAGAGAATAGTGATGTGCTATGCCATCGAGTTCTCCATTGATGGCAACCTCGATGTGCATAGCAAACAAGTAACACGTGCCGTCACAATCGAGAATTACCAATGGGAGAATGAAGCGACAAACCTCCGATGCTATCTTGCCGTTATAGATTAGTGCCACAATGCAAAAAAACGACATTCCTGTCTTTTGGTTATTTACGGGTTGCGTGCCCTCCACCTGGCAACGCAAATCCAGCAGTACTTTAATGAGTTATGAGGACCAGCACACTTTCTTCAAACACATGTGGTATCGTAGAAACCTGCGGTGACAAATAACCTATGCAAAGGCCTGTCTATGAAGTTCATTAGGCTCTGTAAACCTTTTCTACCAGTATATTGAAAATTTTCGGATTCTCAACAGCCAGACGTTTCCTCCAAGCAACCGGCTACCAGCCGACCCATATAGCACCCTCGTGAAGCCTAGAATGTTCTGTGGCAGAGCCCATGTAGGTGCAACTCGCGGTCTGCGCAAACTTCTTACACGGTTCTCAAAGCTAAGGGACCTTCTGATACAAGCAGTTCCCCAGCCGCTCGAACTCCCATCACCTTTCATTTTTAGTTAAAACCTAGCAGTCCTACGACTAAGGACCCCCCGTGCATTCAAAAGACTACAGCCGTCAGTTCAACACAATGTTTATGATTGAGCGCATGCAATTTTGACGAGACTGCGCGAATTCGATAGGTGAGGCACAGCATTACGGCCATCAACTGGTTGGCACAAATCAGATTTCTCACTGCCAGCACTGTGGGCGTACATGCTTCATCCTCCTGGATACGGAATTCTGATCTTACATAAGCTCTCGGCCTCAGCTACTTCGGCATCTTTTTTGCCATGCTGAGCTTGTTTCACAGAGTCAACATCCCATAGGCAGACCTGGTACAAAGTGCGAGTTGATAGGCATGCTATCTTCACACGATTAATGATGAACACGCCAGTTGGAAACGAGAACACGACAGTCGGAAGTAATCGAGCGTAGCTTGGTGGAGGCGTGCCTCATCCGCAGTCTACACCAGTGGTCCCGGCAGTGGCAAACACAACTCCGAGGCTGCTAGCCGCCCTAGGACACTGACGTGTGGAGCCTGCTGAAACTCAGGTGAATGTACGGATAAACCGGGCAGGAATTGCATGACTGTGCGTCAGGGTATCTGCCATTTGGGGCGATGCCGCATAGACAGGATCCATAAGCTACCCCTATCAGGCAAAGTTCTGCTTAGAGGCTTACAATGAGTATGAGCACATGAACAGAAAAAGAGGTGAAGCTTGAGTCCACTGCAACAGCTTGTATTATTTAGCGTCTTCCTGTTGTCGAGAGACCCGAGTGGACGCACCCCAAAAGAGGCAACTTCGGCGAGACTTTTTACAGAGGCTATCGAGAATATGCCTGCTCGCCGTCTTGGTAGCAACGTTTATTTGCTATCCTCAGCACGGCATATTTTTTGCCTCTACACGGTACGTAAGCGGCAACCTTCCTTGCGTGTCACCTATGCTGTCAGTCCGGGATAGTATAGTGGCTAGTATTTCCGCCTGTCACGCGGAAGACCCGGGTTCAATTCCCGGTCTCGGAGTTCCTTTTTCCTACTCGTTTTCTTTACCCATGCGTCGTTTTTTCTAGACAAGTTATGTTTTTGCATGGTAAAGATAAATTAAGCGGATTCTTGATACCAGTTTCAGCCTGGAGGTTCCTCTAAACCTGGGAGGGTGCTGGATCGTCGATGGTGGTCATGTGGGGAAGCAGGAGGCCCTACGCCCAGGGCCCCCTGTGACGCGCTTACGGCTTTGGAAGCCCCCAGTCTTCTCACGGGTTTGTTCCCGTTTTAAGTTCTTCTGTAGGTATTTGTAGGTATACTTTCACTGGGGGGGTTGGTGGAACCCCTGACCCTTTGTGGATTTCTTGTTGGGTGTTTAAGGGGACATCAGGTGGCTGGCCTTGGAAGGTCATTCTTACTTCCTCTAAACGCGGGGTTTTCGCTGTGCTCGCACTTCCCTGCTGCTTGCAGCTGCACAGCCAAATATGTCCACAGTTAATTATGTGGGTGCTCCTGCAGGTCATGGAGCGGTGGCGTAGAACCAGGGGCCACTTGGGTGTATAGGCTAAAATTTGACACCCCAACTACGCGTCGTGCTTGTGCATGTACTCTGCTTAGATGTGCATTTTTCATTCCTGCTTGCCTTCGACGCAATTCATGATGGCAAGAGAACCCCTGCGCGTGCTGGAGTTGTACAGCGGGATTGGCGGCATGCACTGCGCCCTCCTGCACGCCCAGAAGTTAAGGGCCTTCCGCAGGCAGAGGGGCCTTACACTTGACCGGTGCTGCTGCGGGGGCATTCCGAGGCCTCTTATCAAGAGCTCCGTGCCTGGGCAGAGTGCAGAGGTGGAGGTCGCCGCAGCAGACCGTTGCACCTGCATGTGCGGTCTCACAACCCCCCCTCGCGTTGCACGACGAAAGCCCGAGGATTCTGTAGCGGCGGAGGCACCTGCAATAGTTGTCGATGGAGCTGCAGCTCAGGCTTTTGAGGCCCTTACGGCCGACAACATCCCCCTTGACGGCAGCTCGTACTGTGTGCATCCGCTGTTGGATTCGCGGCCACATACTACAGCAGCAGAAGCACAAGCAGACGCATCACCAACTGAGGGGCAGTGCGCAGCCGCCTCTGCACGCGCCGTGGAGAGCCACAGATGCAAGAACATTCCCTTTGAAGTAGTGGCGGCTGTGGATGTAAGCGACACGGCCTGTGCCGTGTATCGCCGCAATTTTTGCCGGCAGCAGGCGGAGCAGCAGCCACACAACGACCGCCTGCAACAGAAAGCGCGTAAAAAGGGCTTGCATAGCAGAGCAGAGGGGGACCCCGTATGCCTTTCTGTGGGCATAGAGCGCCTGCCCCTTTCCTTTTACGAGAACGCAGGAGCCTCCCTATGGGTGTTGGCTCCCCCGTGTCAACCCTTCGCGCGCAGGGGTCTTAAGCAGGATTTTAGGGATGCGCGATGCGCATCGTTCCTGCAGTTGCTGAAAGTGTTGCAGGAGCTGCCGCCTCCGGCACTGCCACGTTTCTTGCTGCTCGAGAATGTGGGGGGGTTCGAGAAGAGCGAGGCCTACGAGTTGCTAATGCAGACGCTCATAGATCTTCACGGATACGAGTGCGTCTTCGTGCTGCTGTTGAACCCCCTACACTTTGGCCTGCCTAACTGCCGTAGCAGGTGCTTCGTGCTCGCGCGCAAGCACCACCCCAGAGACAGCGCCTATGCACAGTGGCTGCGGGCGATTGCGCCTTACAATGAGGCTGCCAGTGCGTCTATTCAACCGCCTACACCCGGAGAAGCGCGCGATGCATCTCCCGCTGCTGCTGCGTTGGATGCAAGAAGGCGCCGGCCGGTAGTTTTGCACGGCATACCGGGGTTGTATTCCTCTCAGGCGTTTTTCTGCTGTCCTATATGGCCCCTTGAAGCGTTTTTGGAGCATGATTTACCCCCACGCTGCAATGTGACTAGTGGGGATACAACCAGTGGGGGCGACTCTGGTGCACCCATATATTGCAAGGGGAAGAGCAATGACTGCACTAGCAGTGAGCTACTCATGGGCAGCCATGACAAGGCGCCTTTTGAGGCGCCTTCCTCTATGCCCCCTGCATCTCGTGAAGCCTCCACTGTTGTGGGGGAAGCCGTATCACTACTCCTTCATCCGCAGGCGCACAACCATGAGCAGCTTTCTGCTCTGGAGCTCAAACTCAAGCAGAAGAAGAAGGCGTGGCACATTGTTGACCTCGTGACACGCACAAGCGCTCGCAGCAGCTGCTTCACGCGCAACTACGGGAAGAGCGGCCTTGCGCAGTACGGCAGTATCCTTCTGATTGACGACCTGCAGGAGCTGCTGATGCACCGCCAAGGCGAGGGAGAGACTCAACACGCTTCACACAAAAATCCGCAAAAACGCACTGTAGAATTGCACGATCTGCTTTCACCCGAAACGCGCTGCCGCTTTTTCTCCGTCAGGGAGCAGCTAAGGCTCCACGGTTTCCCCTCCTGGTTCGCTTTCACGGATGCAGAAGAGGCGAGGGAGCAGCCGAGGCAGCAGCACGGCGAGAAGCAGCAGTACAGGCTCATGATTGGTAACAGTCTCAACGTTTACCTCGTTGGAATGCTGCTTGACTTCCTCATAGGAGACGATGAACTTTGAAGGACGCGAACGCGTAGTGGCTTGGAGACGCAGTTCGGCGAAGACCCTCCACGCGCTCCTCTTCTCCATAGGCATTCTTCTTCCAGACTGCCCTTATCCGGAGATTAGCATGTATTTCGGTGAAGGGTGCCCCTGCCGACCGCTACACGCCTAGGAGCTTGGCAAGTCGAAAACGCAAGTGCTTTAGTCATCCTTCGAGCTGCAGTTTGCACAGGCTCAATATCACGTACAAAAAAAGTGCTGCTGGCAACGCGCAGCTGTACTCCAATTCAAAAGCTCCGCATCTCGAGATTTTTCCCGAAACTCAGGCTTCTTCAATGCTTTCCTACCAATTCTGCGTTTTGCTTCATCCTGTGTCATGCGACCCTCCTCTGATATGAACGGCAGCGCGCGGTGTCCAGCTTCCAGATGTTCACGCATCGCTGCTGCTCTAGCAGATTCATTTTGGGGCAGTCACACTCCAAGGCCCTCTGTGCTGTCCACTGTGACGCTCGTACAAGACTGCGTATTCCATTCAAATCCTTGGTGCCGACAGCGGCGGTGAGGTGGTGCCAGCGCTGCTATTGCGGCTTTTGCTGTCAGTGCTACTCATGAAGATCTGCCTTTGGCAGAGAATTCTTTAGGTGTGGATAGGTTCTCGCGATAGATCAGACGCCTTTGCCGCGTTTGCTGCTCAGTCCGTCAGGCCCCTCTACTTCGTCGGCAGCAGCGGCACTGCGCAGCGGGCGGAAGAGCGATGCGGCCGTACCGTTGTACTCTGTCTTCCACCTACACGCAAGCAATCTGTCCAAACGGCACGGTTTCCGCAGATAAAAAACGACTTTGCGGAGTAAAAAATAAGCGATGTTGCTGTTGCTACGGTGGCTCTGCTGTTGCAGGCAGCTGGTGTTTGCTGCTGCTACTCCCTGGGGGCTGCTGCGCAGCAACAGCAGCAGCTGCTGCCGATATGCACAGGGGCAGCCGCAGCGACAGCAGCAGGGTCTGATACTTTTTTTTCTAGGGAATGCAAGTCTATTGTTTTGTCCTTCTTTGTCCAGTGGAGAGGGACTGGGAATCAGACACGTGGGCAGCAACAACAACAGCAGGTGCTGCCGATTGCTGCGGCTGCAGGTGCTAGCAGGACGCTCATCATCGATTGGAGCCGAGATCTGTTGCTGCTGCAGTGGCAGCTGCCTCACCGGTAGCAACAGGCCTATTTGCAGCCTATTGGACTGCGCGAGAGAAACACCTGCTGCTGCCGGCGAAGCGCGTCATCTTCGCCGTTTAGGCATGTGCAATAGTGCCGCAAGAACGGCGCCAGCAGCTGCAGTGCAACGGCAGTGACCACGTTTCAAAAGTATTTATTGAGTCAGTTGCTTCGAGACTTTAGCAGCCTGAAAAAGCCGTACTTTTGTGTGGACAGCTGCACCACCGTCACCACCCTCATTCGTAGTACCAGCACAGCACCCGCTAAACGCCCCCATCCGCAGCAGCAGCACAGCATTAGACAGTTACAGCAGAAAGAAGGCTGCAGACACCGCAACACCATAAGAATCCAGAGGGAACCATCGCGTCAGCGCGGTGTGTCTGCGTGAATGAACGCCGGAAGCGCCAGCTGCTGCTGCTGACGGCAGTTTAATCCACCCCTCAGTGCTCCCAAGCACTGAGAGCTCCTCAATGAGCAGTGTGTGGTGCAGTGAGCCTAGCTCCCTAGGGAGCTGTTCTCCTCGGTGGACTGCCCCGCGCAGCAGTGGCAACGGCAACCGCAGCAGCAGACACAGCTGGTAGCAAGAGCGCCAACAAGTCCCCTAGCCGCAGCTACTATCACCCCTCCCCCCCTCCCTACGTACAGCGGCTGAGGAGGAGCAACAGCGGCAGCACACAATGGGCTTTTTTTCGTGGCGTTCCTCTGCTCAGAAACAGCAGCAGAAGGAACTGCAAGCGCTGCTCCGCCAGACGCTGAGCGCCAATCCAGCAACCGTAGATGCTGATACAGCTGCACAGCAAGTAATGCCTCCTCCTACCCGTCTCAGTACTCGCAGAAGTGCCTTTCTCTTCCCACTCACCCTTCCCCCTCTTCCCGTCCTATCCAATCGCATATCCCCTTTAGTGTTCACAACATTATTCTGCCAAGACTTTTTTGGTGTCTATCTATGTGTGTGCTGCAGGCTCTCGCAGCCACCTCGCCACGTTCCTATGGCGCCGACGCTGGACGAGATCGCGTTGCTGCTGCGGCTGCTGCCGCTGCTGCAGCAGGGGCAGTTGCGTTTTCCTGCGAGTCTCTCGGCAACGCCCGCGCCGTCGTAGAGCAGCTGCTGCAGCAGCGGCTCCTGCAGCAGGGGGCTAGCTCCGACAGCAAGGTGCTCTGTCTGCTGCTGCTGCTGCAGCTGCTCGAAGCCTCCAGCTACTGTCGCGTCATCGCAGCAGTGCTTCCCATAGCGCCCACGCCGCAGTCTGCCCTGTCGCGGAGTGGCGGCAGCAGGAGGGCGTCTGCTGCACGTACAGCTGCGTTGCCGTTGGTGCAGTGGCTGCAGAGCTTCTCGCTGCTGCTGCTGCTGAGGTTTCCTCGCCCGCTGCCTCGACGGAAGCAGCAGCAGCAGCAGCAGCAGCTGCTGCGTGCAGCCGAGTCGCGGCTCCGCCTGCTCTTCCCCAGGAGGACGGGCGACATGGAGCTGAGCTGCTGCGGCGCGATTGCCGCCAGGTGTCTGTACACCGCAGCGGCGGCTGCTGCCGCCGCAGCGGACGGTGCAGGCGTGCAGCAGGAGTTCAAGCATGCCATTGGCGTCTTAGAGGCCATAGGCATCGCGAGCGCTCCCCCGCTGCTGGAGGCGGAGGTGCGCTTGATTTGCGGAGCTTCAGCAGTCATCCTGCTGCAGCCTCAGCTGCTGCCGCTGCAGCAGCAGCTCGCGGCACCCACGTGCTCAGCGCAGCAGACATCTGCCCTCTCTCAGGATTTGGCCTCTTCTCCTGGAGGCGTGGATACGCGTATTGCAGGTGAGAAAAAGGCGGTGTGGGGATGGAAGCGGGAAGTTCGTGGGCTGTTCAACGAGCACTTGGTGCTCCCCTAGGGGGAAGACGCTTGCTTGTGTTTGAGTGGGGAGAATCCTTGGTTAGTGCTCTCATTCTCGCGTCCTCTGGAGTCTAGAAGGGCGATGTGCCTCTGTCTCGGCAACGCCGCGGAGGTGGATTAACGCGGTGCCTGTTGCTGCCCTCTTGGCAAAACTCTGCTGCTGAAAGGCTGCTGAAAGTCGTTCGAGATGCGCGGAAAAAGAGCCGATTAGAGCACCCATTCGACCTGCTCATGCCATTTGTATGCTGCACAGAGGTGCTATCCAGCCTCGAGCTGCTGCACGAACTGCTGCAACAACCGTCTCCTGAAAGCCTTCTCATGCTGCAGTCTTGCAAAGAAGAGCTGGAGAAGCAACAGGCACTCCTGCAGCGCGATGCTGCAAACCTTGTCGACGAGGGACGGTTGGACGCATTTGCCGAGGTTTCAAAGGTATGCATGTCTACAGGCACTGCTGCTGCTTCTCGATCTGCTGCCGCTGCGAGGATGGCCGTGTTGTGTGTATGTGTGTATGTGTGTGTGTTTGTGTGTGTTCGTGTGTGTGTGTTTGTGCTTGTTTGTGTGTGTTGGTGTGTTTGTGTGTGTGTTTGTGCTTGTTTGTGTGTGTGTTTGTGTGTGTGTGTGTATGTGTGTGTGTGTGTGTTTGTGTGTGTGTTTGTGTGTGTGTGTGTGTGTGTGTGTGTGTTTGTGTGTGTGCTTGTTTGTGTGTGTCATCTGCATCTGCTGGATTTTGTGGTTGTTTTCTTCTGCCTGTGGATGAAGCGAGGGGTGCGTTGGAAGGCGTTTCTGCACTTTTCTGCTGCTGCACTTGTTGGCGGGGGTTTGTCTTATGCAGGTTCTCGATTCTGTGGCGACTACACTGCAGCAATTCGATTCTGTACGGGCTCAACTTGAACAGCAGCAGCAACAACAGGCGCAGCAACAGGAGCAGCATGGGGGGGAACAAATGCAGAGTGGGGGGGGACGAACTCAGGGCGAAGCAGAAGAAAGCAGTCTTCCTGCCGCTGCAGTGTCAGGCATCGCAGCCTTAACACCAGAGGGGATGCAAGAGGCCTCCCTAGCATGCACGACGCGGTCGACGGAGTCCAGCAGCAAACCAACTGTCTGTACACCCCATTTGTTGTCGCCGGGTGCCGCCAGTGCTCCTCTTGCTGCTCCGCCTTCAGCAGCAGATGAATTTATGCTTTTTTCGTTGACTGACGAGCCGACTGCGCCAGTGCCTCGCCAGCAGCAAGAACCAGCAGCAGCCGAACCTGCCGCTGCAGCGTCTGCCCCGGCGCTCCCTTCCAGCAGCGTTGGCAGTTCGAGCTCGAAGAGCAGACGCAACAACCGCAGCAGTAGCAGCAGAAAGGGTCGGCACAGCAGCAGCAGAAACCACTCCCGAGAATTCAAGCCTGCGGAGGAAGCAGATCTGGGGACCGCCGCAGACAGCAGCTTCTCGAGAGCGATCCTTGGAGCCTCAGCCGGTGTGTCGGAGACAGCAGCCACCAGCGTGCCGAGCAGCAACAGCGTCTCAGTGAGCCCTCCAGAAATGGCAGTATTGGAAAGCTTTCCTCCGCCTACACCGGCTCCTCATTCGCCTCCAGCAGCAGCAGCCACAGCCACAGCCACTGCAGCAGCAGCAGCAGCAGCTGAGTCAGCCTCTGACGCTCCTCCGCTTCGCGGTTTCAAGACTGAGGTTGAAAAGGAGGAATTCTCAAGGGCGAGCGCTGAGTCTCCAAGTGCGCAGCAGGAGGGGGCAGCTTCTGGGGATGGCAGACGCTCGACAGATCTTGGAGGCCTCTCTAGAGAGGAGCAGGAGAAAACGCAGCAGCAGCAGAAGCAGCAGCAGAAGCAGCAGCAGCAGAAGCAGCAGCAGCAGAAGCAGCAGCAGAAGCAGCAGCAGCCTCGCAGCAGCAGCAAGCGACACACTGTAGAGGATACTGCGTTCGAGGATTTCGGGGCGTTCTCATCGGCACTTTCGGATAGCGGTTCAGAAGGATCGCCGCGCTGTCTTCAGCAGCTGCAGATACTACGGCAGCTGCAGTATCCGCATGCTCAGCAGGAGCACGCGCCGAGGCTGCTGTTGCCGCTGCATCCCCTGGAGAGACGCAGCAGCAAGGAGGAATCTTCTGAGAGGCTCCAACGGCCCTTGTCGTCAGCCGCATGGCAAGGAGGTCAAGCTCTGGAGACAAGAGAGCCATGGAGCGATGCGTTTGAAGCGGTGCAGAGACTCCAGCAGCAAGAGGGGCACCAAGAGCAGCCATACGATCAGCAGGCAGTGCCGCGTGACGGGCAGCAAGCGCCAGAGGTGGAGCCTCCACAAGCCGCCAAGGCAGCAGACTCCGCATTTGAGAAGGTATGTGTCTTTGGTTCCTTGGGGTGATCGTTCTGGGCTTCCGGTTGGTGCTCCCGCTGTAGAAAAAACGTGTGTTTGGGGGTTGTTAAGCTGCTACTGCGTGTTTTGCGTGTCTGTGCTCTGTGCCCCTAGAAGGTGTCTTTCTCCGACGTCTTGCCAGGAGTGACAGACAGCGTCGTTGCAGCTTCTGCGCGGCGTGGCAGCGCTCTGCAGCAGCAGAAGCAGCAGGGGCAGCAGCTTGGCGCTGCCGACTGGACTGCCTCCGTGCAGAAGGGCAGTACTGAGAGCCTCAGCAGTGAGGACGAGCAGCACAAGGCGACTGCAAGGCTCACGGACCAGGTTACGTTGTTGCGGCACCAGCGGCGGCAGCTGCAGCAGCAGCTCGCTGCAGCGCAGGCTGACGCGACAGAGACTTTGGCGTGTCTTGCTGCGAGCGAGCAGCAGCAGGAAGTGTTGCGGCAGCAACTGGAGACGCAGCAGCACCACGTCAACCAGCTGCAGGAGGAGCTCAAGGCAGCAAAGGCAGCTCATAAGGCGGCAGAGGAAGCTCTCGAGCATTCTCAGCTGTTACTGCAGCAGCGCGCTCAGACAGCAGAACGGGCGAAGGAAATGTGGCTGAAGGAGAGCGAACGAGCTTCGAAACTCGCCGACGATCTAGACAGTAAGGCCTTTACGTGGAGCGGCGCTGCTTGTGGCTGCTGCTGCTCTTCCTGTGGTGCGCACTTCGCAACCTGAGGAGACAGGGAGAAGTGCGGCGGGCTGTACGGCTGCTTCTGTGCCGTCTTTCGTCCTATGCTGCAGCTTCCCGCATGCTGCGTGTCTGCTGCTGCAGTTGCCGAGAGGACCATCGCGCTTCACGAGGAGACGATTCTTAACAGCTCAGTAGAGCAGCGGCGTCTGCAGCAGGAGCTCCACGGCCTGCAGCGCCTCCTGTTTACCACGCCTGCCGCAGTGCAGGCAGCAGCGGCAGCTGGATTTGCGGATTTACGAGACAGCAAAAGCAGCGCGAAACTGCAGAGACAGACGGGTGCAGCCTCAGGAGACAGGGCCTTGTCTCCTGGTCGCTGTAGCACTGCCAGCTCCCTCCCTGTAGTCTTGGGTGGGGAGTTGCAGCGAGGAGGCCGTAGTAGCAGCTGCAAACTGCTGCAGCGGCATCAGCAGCAGCAGCAACACCAGCCAGCCGATGCGGCGCTGAGCAGCAATGCTTGCATCGAGTCTGTGACAGACACGCTCGATGAGCCGCTTCCTGCGGGAGACGCTCCCCTCTGGCATTTAGCTGTAGGCTTGCGTTTTTGCTGCGGCTGCCGAACGCTCAGACGGGTGCCTGCCTTTTCAGTGACAGCGCCGTGCTGAATTGTTGAGGCCGCTTTCGCGGCCGTACGTACACTCGATGCGGTTCTGTCGCTGGGTGCTCTGCTGCTGCAGCAAAGCGGTTTGGCGGTAGACTCAGCAGAATCAACGTTGATGGCGGCTGCTGCACCAGCAGCAGGAACCGACCCCCTACACGTTAAGCCGCACGTCGCTGCCGCTAGATGCATGGACACAGGGTTCTTGCCGCTCTTGCTCATGGATAGTGGCGTCTTGCTAGAAGACGAGACGCTGCAGGTAAAGCGGCAGCAGCAGGTGCTGGTGCTGGCAGTCTCAAGAGCTTCCCCTGCTGCTGCTTTCTCCTGCAGAAACTGCGCTGCGCCGCATGCGGTGTTGCACCTGCAGATTGGTGTTCAATGCACAGTAAAAGGCCTCTCGGGTCGCATGAGCCTCTACTTCGGGAACAAGCGGAGCAGCATGCTGCAACAGTTCTCGTGCGAACTGCTGCTGCCACGCGAAGGGGGGCTGCTGCTGCGCCCTGAGGACCAACCGCAGCAGTTGCAGCACTTGAAGGGAAGGGAGCAGGTGGCTTATGTGCGTGTCTACTGGTTAAAGTGCAGCTTGCGAGGAACAAAGGGGGGAGGGCTGCCTAGCTCACTGGTGAACGCAGATGCCGCCTTTCGTCAGCGTACAGCCGTGTGTGCTGTGACTGCATTTGCGGATGCAGCACTTGTTGCTGCAGTGCGTCGAACCCTTTGACTACTGCCCTATGATGCGCATCTCCTTTCTGTGAGTCGAGGCGCATGCATGCGGCTTTAGGGCCCCAAGTGCCGTGCTGGTCTGTCTGCACCGTAGGCTGAACGCATGAGACGAAGAACGCATCTAAAGCGCTGCCCTTGCTTGCAGCATCGGCAGGTTGTGCATGCATGCGAATGATAATTCGTCGTAAAGGCCGCAGCAGGCGTTCGGGGAATGACACTCATTTTCTCGCCCCTCCCGTGTGCAGTGCGCGCTGCTTTCAAGGATGGCGTTCTTGTGCGACTGTGCAGAATGCCAGATGCAACGCCTTGGTACCGAGAGGTGGCCCTCCCTGTCTCCCTCTCACGCTTCGTTGAGGGCTACCCCATGCCAGCAGACGACTTCTTTGACACCTGGAATCTGCAGGAATTTGCGCTGAACGAGAGTGCGAATAAAAACAGCAAGAAGCACTGAAGGCTTTCTGCCCCTCCCGGCTGAACCCGTACCCCATTCAAAGGAGCAACGCCCCTTTTGAGCCCGCAGTGCTTCCCCTATTTGCTTACCATGCTAAATAACATCTACGTTGGCCTCACCACCACCATTCGCATGTAAATATATCTATATATATATATATATATTTGCCTGGTCGCACCTTGCTCTGTTTTGTGCCTGCCTCTGTACAGCGGCTTGCGTGCTCAGCATACACCCCGTACTCCAAGGCTCAATGCTTGCACTCGTGCGGCGTCTGCAGCTCGTGAGCGGCCCCCTGCTGCGACATTTGGTGATGGCGTCGTGCTGTTGACTCCGCCACTAAAGATGCACTTGGCAACTGATAGCCACCCAAACACACACACACACACACACACACACACACACATACATACATACATACATACATAACATACATACATACATAACATACATACATAGGACACACATACATAGAATATATATATATATATAAATATGTACATATACATATACACGCACTACACATACATTCATACACAAACACGTACAGACAGGCACGAAGTTGGCGCAGCAGTCAGAACGTGTTGCTGGCTTGAAATCAATTACCACATGGCGAAATTCCGATTCACCTGGCGACATTCTTTTCCCCGTTGTTCAGGGTGGGGCCTTGTCTCTGTGCACGACGGCGGGGGAGGGCCAGGCGCAGGCAGTCTCCGTGGCAGGGAGCTTGCCGCGAGCTTCGGCTCAGAGAATCCAACAGCAGGAACCAGTGCAGCAGCAACAGTGCCCCAGCAGCTGCGACCAGCAGCTGATCGTCCTCGCTCGGTGCGTTGCCTGCCTAGACGGCGCCGGAGGGTCGTGTAGCATTGTTTTGTGCCGTTATTTCGCGTCGAAGTGAAGCGGCTCTGCACTCCCGTGCGCAGTGCGTTTCACGTGGCATTGCTGCTATTGCTCTGCTTTTGCAGGCTGGAGTTGGGTGTCGGCAGGCAGCAGGGACGAGGCCGACTGGCAGTAAGGGCCAGTGATAGCGTTTTAAGTTCGGCTATCCGCTCTGAGCTGTATGCACAGCTTGCGAAGGTGCCTGTAGCTTCCTAGATGCTACAGGTGTTACGGCATGTCTTTAGCTGGCACAGAGCAACACACCCTGCCATTCACTCATAGCAGCGATTTTAAGAGCGCCATGCGCCTTCTGTAGCGGCCGTGGCGGCCTTTTTTATGAGCTGCAGAACCAAAGGGTGCAGCGGCAGACACCTCTCAGCTGACACGATAGAAACAGCAAATGCAATTCGTTTGCAGAAACTGCGTGAGCAGCTGTTGCTGCAGCTCCTGCTTTGCAGCGTGCGGCTTTTTTTCCTTTGGATGCCTTTAGTTCGTTGTACAGCGGGCAAGGGTGCTGCTAAAGTTCCCACTTTTACACACTTTTCCGGACTGGCGGCTGCCATGTCTTGTTTCATTTTGGGGTGCTGGAAGCGTCGGCGTCTTGTGGACTTCACCTCATTACGCCACAGACCTTTTGTACTGCAGCCGGGTTTACGAGAGTGCTTTACTAGGAGCAGATTCGCGGGGAAGGGGTACGGGGGATGGATTCCTCTCCGGAAAACGCCACGGTTTAGAGCGTGGATCCATGGTTCGATAGCCTGCGAGCTGCCCACCTCCGTGTTTGGGGTGGGGCCCCCCGTAGCTTGAAAAAAACTCGCTGTCCATCAGTGCACTGGACGCTGGCTCTTCCAGGCAAGGGAGGCTGCAATGCGGCCACGAAAGGCTTTTGGTAGGAAATCCCGTGTACTAAGAGCTTCTATTTGTTTTTACAGGGTGTTATTACCCTGATCGTCCATGTCTGAGCAACACTCACGTACCACGGCAAAGCCACTTCCTGATAGACCTCTCAAGCTGAATGCACTGCATGGTGATATATCTATTCAGAATCACTGCTCATGAAGTGCTTCGCTTCAAAGGGTGACCGACTTGAACCACTTGAAACGTTGACTGCGCTCCTTGCGTGCTCACCCATGAAGAATATGCCGTACCACCGCTTCGCAACTTGCGTAGGATGTCACATCACTTATTCGCTTAAGCAAAAACCTTATATCTCTACGGGAAAATTCTCTTCTCAACTAGAGCTAGTGGCAGGTGAGAACCGACCTCTTTTTGCCCTTTGGCTGATGCCCTGAAAGGCCGTAATCCTATTGGTGATTTTTCTTCAGCGGCGCCAAAGCCTGCTGACTCTGTCTTGGTAGTGGATATCACTGACTTCACTGCTTAACCAGTATTATGGTTAAGGGCCTTACACCCAAAAGAGCATGGGGTTTGAGCACTTCCGTATGCTTTCTGACTGTCATGACTTGGCAGGCGGCATTAAAGACGCCTGACCAGCTTTTGCATGCTGCAACTCGTACAACGTGGGAACTAACGTGGTAGCGGCCAGCCTACAAGCGCGCTCTTGCAACTGCTTGGATTTGTAACAGGAGGTAGAGCCAAACAGAAGTTAATGACTGTTTGCACAAGGTCGGACGCATCATCGAATCGGGAACGTGAAAGCGTTTGTGGCTATTCTAAGAGCAATATTCGTGCGAATAGGCATCTCAGTAGCAAGAAATATAAATACTAAGCCATGACGGATTTGGGCGCATTCCTTAAATAATCTTCCTGTCAATTGTTCCGGACGCTGGCATGCCGAAACTTGAAGTGCTTTTACTCAGAGCTTTGGCCCTCGCAATCTTCGAGCCGAAAGCCCCAAGTCATACGGTACGTTTCCAAGCTTTGCACGATGTTTGCGTCAAGCATTCTCGCCGACTTCGCGAATGAAGCGTAAAAATTGCCTCATCTGAACACACCTGCAGACTCGATTTAAATGGAAGGGTTCCGTTAGAAGACACTGCTTTGACCTGTAAGAAGCCAGCAGAAGCCTGCTCTTCTCGAGCCGAAAGAGAAACCATTTCTTGAGGGCGCGGCTCACGATGGGCTCATTTTCAGATGTCCTCTTCTACCGTAATCAGCAGGAACCAATTCGGAAATTCGCACCGATTGCAGAATCCTCCCTGAGGTGCGTCAACTGCTGCCCCTGGAGGACGGAGCGGGTTTAGCTGCACTTTCCGTATGCTAGTCATGTGTGATGGCGAATTAGGAAGGTAATGAGCAATCCATTTGCCCATTTGCATACCTCACTTATTGCAGAGCACTGCTGTCTCGAAAAAGGAGGCGCAATGCCATGTGTGTGCACGCTAAATGCTATGTGCAACTAGCAGTAAATGCTCCGAGTGCTCAAACATGCAGCAACGCGTGCCCTAGCGTCCTTCTCCTTGCACGTCAGGGACTCTGAGAGGTGCGAGCAAGGAGAGGCGGAATCCGTGTAGAGGACCTAATAACCTTTTATTAAGTGTGACTAAAATCTAAAGTTAAGTATCCCCATACGGATATCTCAGATAGAGCATTGCAGTTAGTAGCACCGCATGGCGTGATGCATCTGATCCCGCTCATCCACTGGCTGTGAATGCAGTGGGATAAGAAACCCCACAACATTTCATTTGGCTTCTCCAATTCATTTGGTGAGCCAATAAAATTTACATTCTAAGACTAGAGTCCAGAGAAGAAGCCGTGTCGCGACAACTGTTGACGCTTCCACCGTTGCCTGCTGGGGCAGCAGGGCCGGCCTGCACACCGATGCAAGCACAGTAGCTTCACAGCTGGTAAAATCACACGCACAGATGAGGCTATACAGACCAGAAAATCCGACGGCTATCGGGGTGGGCAAGTACTCGAAGAGTTCATCAGCTGGCTGGAAATGTACCTCGTTCCGCATCTCCCAGCAATCGGGAAACAGGTTCTACTTGGGGCATGTTAATGTGAGAAAGAAGAACTTTTAAATAGGCCCTATCATAAAGGGAAAGTCTTTGGCCTGCAGGTACTACCACAGTTCCAGCCGTTTTGTAAATCCTGACTGATAGGCTTATACCGAATTCAGCTCAGCAGCAAGCTTTGAGAGAGTAAGTAAATCAAGGCAGTAAAATGTATCAGTAGATTGATATATCAAGAACATAATTTCAGCTCACCAAAATCACAACGGAAAAAAAGTTGCTCTAGAAGTGGTTTCCCTAGGTCCGCCTGGAGTGTCACGTCAGGCGGTTGTAGGATGTGTAGCGACTCGATGTTTCAACCGCCGACTGGAAAAAGTCCGCGAATATCGACTACTTGAGGCTTTTAGGAGTCGCCGACCGCAATTCATGCGTCTTCGCTTTGAAGGAAGGGTCGAATCGTTAGGGCTGTCTCAAGCGGCCCTACCTTGCAGTCTAAATTGAACGAGAGAGGCGAAGTAAGAAGAAACTCACAATCCTGAACCGCCCCAAAAGCCCCTCAACAAGGCACCTGCTTCCCTTGTGAGAGACTGGGTTACACAACCCAAAACTTCAAGCTTACGCAAAAAGCGAAACAAAGCTTGAATGGAAACAGTTTCACCGGAAGCAGGCTGCTTGGCGAGCGAGCGAAGTCGCGCAAGAGAAACAAAATAGCCCCCATGCAGGCTAAGGCGCAGTGCTTAGGCTATAGAAGAGAGGAGCGCAATTCGGGACCCACTATGGGTCAATTCCGTGCTGCTTCAAGTACACAAAGATGGTCACGAATTGCTAGCGCTACACGGTACTGAATTTAAAGCCATTCTGTCATTCAAGGAGACGGTGCAGAAGTGCAGCCTGCCGGTTCACTCGTTGTGCATTTGTTGACAGAGGGCACTAGCCACTTGAACCGATGCATTATCTCTTCCGTGTAATGTTGTCTCTGCTGCAGCTACCGTAGGGCCGCATGCCGCTTGTATCATTGTTGCACCCCTTTGCCTTCTGCGTGGAGACATTTTCATGACCCTCACTCCTTCAGCAGTTAGTATAGTGTGAGCGACAGCATGAGCAATACCGAAGGCATTGTTGCCGTAGCGCCAGTTGACAGCGTGCCTGGGGTTGCATCCAGCAGCGCTGCAGGTGCTGCTGCCTAGTGCATGTCTTTTTTCACGTCGATTTTGTTTAGCTCTGATACCTACTTTGTACTTTCCAGTTGGACAGTCGGCGCGTTTCTGCCTGCCTGAGGATTGGCGATAGGGAGAAAACTCTTTCGTTGTCATGCCTGCAGACAATCTCGGAGCGCGGGTAGGGTGCGCGAGGGTACGCGTTGTGAACTAAGGGGAAAATATGGCGGGCTAAGCTTTACTTTCACTTTTTCTACTACACTAAGTATGTTTAACAAAGAATCAGTAAACAAAAGACTATTGGTATGCCTCATAGTACATCTTATTTACTACTGACAATCGTTTGTTCGGAACTAGAAGGCGCAATATTGAGTGCGCGTGAGCGATATGCTGTGTATGACTGGCTGTTGATGCATTGTGAGGTGCCGCATCTGGCTCCGTATGGAGACACTTACCCCCAAACCGGATGAAAATTTTAATAGGAAGTGTTTGCGTGTAGCTTATTGGAAATCTCTTTTGCATAGTCAAGAACCTCAGAGCTTCAATCAAGAGGGGAGAAAGAGAGTTAGGGTGGCGTAAGGGCACGCTCTGAGCACACCGTGCATTCATGGCAGCTAGCGCAAAAACGCACGCAGCATTTGAGTCTTCTTCGACTGTCTATCAGTGCTCTGCAACAAATAAGCTACACAAGCACACACAGCGATTAGTGGATTATATGCTAAATGCTGGTTGGACATAACTGGTGCAGTAAAAGGTATGTAAATACAGCTTAGCTCGCTACGTTGAATGTTGTAATGCACTTCCGAACCTCGCAATTGACAGCTTGTTCTCTTCTGCCCGACTATGTTTTAGTCAGATGGATTCTTACAGTGAGGCCACCAGTAAAGTGCAACTAATACTGGCCTAGTTTTGTTTGGATTTGATTGAGTGTCTAGATGAGTTTGTTTTTCACGGAGTGAATCTTTTGAGGTGTGCATAAATCTCTGAAACGGGGCTTTAGAGCGCGATCTTCTGAGACTGATGACTACTTGCAACAACCTGGGCTACAGGAGGGGTGTGCCTCTCTGCATCCCTCTGCGGGTCTGCCTCTTGCAATTAGGAGATACCGTCCCAGCTCTATCCCCCCCCGCGTCCCCTAACCCCTTTACCACGATGCCTGGTTAACTTCTAGGAGCGCAAGTTTACTCTTATTCGAAGAGATGTAGTGGTTCTCAGGATTCGGGTGTTCTTACGGCGACCCGACAATGCTGTTGCGACGGTTCTCCCCGTCCAGGTCTCTGGGTACTCTGGGTCTCTGGTGTTTTAATCAGTCCCCTGCCACACTTTTAAGCAAAAAATCGTTGCCGTATTATCACGCGGAAGACCCTTGACTTCAACCGGACAGCCAGATCTGCCACAGTATGTGGCAGTGCCCCTGCCCCTCCACCAGCGCCTTTTTCCCTATTACTCTAGCTTCCTGGGCACCATCTTAGCGTAGAGGAACCTGACACTGTAGCCACCTCGCTTTGAAGACTAAATAGAATGCATATGCACCAAGTTGACGCTTAAAACGACGGCTAATCGCAGATTTCAACGAAGACAAATCTGTAAGCGTTCAATGTGTCGGTAGCTTCTACGCATGCCCGATTGCATCTCTTAGTTCGACCCAGTTACACTCTGCCTTTCCGTTCTCTGCTTCGTTCGAATTTGCTGCACATTTGAAGTGCTGTTATTGACAGCCATTCAGAAATGTTCTTAGGGGTTACACCTTGTACTCGTGAGCACCTGCTGTAGGGTCCCAATGGCACGCGGAACCCTGCTTGCCTTAATAAGGCCTCTTAAGAGCTATGAGGTGCTCTCACCTCATTGCCCTACCCTTCCACTTATGAAAAGGCACTTGCCTGTTGCAGCCAGTGGCCTAGTCGCACCCCCCACCATTCTACCTTCTTGCTATACAAGCAGACGCTTTCTCCCTACGACTGGGATATCTCCGAGTACGAGTCCCCCGGAGGTAACTCCGGCGGCTATAGGGCCACTTTTCGTGCGGGATCCCTATGAGCAGCTACCGGAAGTAGAGCCAAACGGCACTGACACCGACAACAGCAGTAGCACCTACAACAGCGACCCTTGCGGCAGCCAGGAGCCTTACCTCATCGTGACTGACCCAAGCACAGGACAGCCTATCGGCCGCACACCCAACCTGGGAGCTCCGTGGGTGCGTGCTTCGATAGCGTATGCGGCTCAGGCTCAACCTTCTTGGGGATCTGCATCAGTCCTTGCGCGGAGCAACTTGTTACTGCGCTGGAATGCAGTTATAGAGGAGCAGAAAGAATTGCTGGCCGCCCTCATCACTGCGGAAACGGGAAAGCCGATACCAGAGAGTCGTCAGGAGGTAATGTATGCTGCTTCTTACATCCGCTGGTGTGCAGAGGAGGCCCGGCGGCTCAACGGCTTGACGATTCCCTCAGCGGATGGCAGCAAGCTGCAGTACACTGTGAAAGAGCCCATAGGAGTCTGTGCGCTCATCACCCCATTCAACTTCCCCTTAGCGATGCTCGCAAGGAAGGCAGCAGCGGCGCTGGCAGCAGGCAATGCCTGCACTGCCAGGCCGTCTGAAGCAGCTCCCCTCTCGGGACTGGCACTGGCTGCAAGTGCTAGGGAGGCCGGCCTCCCTGCTGGTCTGTTCAATGTGGTTCCGTCATGCAGAAAAGGCGGCATCATTTTTGGGCAGGAAATAGCTGCGAGCAGTTCCGTCGATCTGCTCTCCTTCACCGGCTCAACAATCGTGGGCCGACAGCTGTACAGGCAGTGTGCAGGGACTGTGAAACGGATCCTTTTGGAGTTAGGAGGCAACGCCCCTTTTGTTGTCTTTGAAGATGCAAACATCAAGGATGCAGTATTGGGCCTCCTGGCCGCTAAGCTAAGGTGCGCGGGGCAAGCGTGTGTTAGTGCCAACCGGGTGTATGTACACCGCAGCATCTTTGGGCAGTTTGCGAAACACGTAACAAAGCTCTTTTCGGAGCAAGAGGTCGGCAGCGGCAGGAAGCATGGGGTATCTGTGGGGCCTTTGATCAGTAATGATGCAGTGGAAAGGGTGGAGAGCATTATCTACGACGCTGTCGACAATGGAGCCCGCCTTTTGCTTGGGGGAGGGCGCGCAAAGAACCTGGGGGATCTTCAATATGGCCATTTCTTTGAGATAACGGTTATGGACTGCTGCAACGTCGCGCCACACGCAAGAGTGAGACACGAGGAGCTGTTCGCGCCGGTCGTCTGTCTGTATGCCTTTGATTCAGAAGATGAGGTGGCAGCTCTGTGCAATGACACGGAGGCAGGGTTGGCTGCGTACTTCTACACACAGAATGTCGCGCGGGCGCATCGCTTTGCTAGACGCTTAAAGTGTGGCATGGTCGGGGTCAACACGGGGATGATATCCTCATGTGAAGTGCCTTTTGGGGGGTGCAAATCATCCGGCTTTGGAAGGGAGGGCTCTGTCTTTGCCCTCGACGATTACACAAACACAAAGGTTATTGCTATTAGTGGGCACTGAAGCAATGACTCATGATGTCAGTAGTACACTTCCTCTGAGCAGGAGTCCTCCATATTTAAATAACGAGGCACTCTGCACATAACGCAGTCAATCGCAACTCCGCGACTTTGCTTCTTTTCAACCAGCTTTGAGGCATTCGAGCCGCATCGTTACGAGGATTCTCTTTCTTTCATTTCCATAGATCTCAGTTTCAAGGCCAGTAACATAATATAGGTATCTCATGTCGTACGGGCATGACGTCGCTGTAGATACAGAAACAACTCCTCCTGAAATGCTACGAAGGGTTCCCGCACTTGGCAATGGGCTATCTTGCCTAGCAGGTTCAGGTTGTCTACCGTGGCATAACAGCTATACTATTACACTGCGCGATGTTAACATTTTACAGAACTTATAAAGGATGCATTCCTAAATGTTACCAGACCGATGGGCATCAGCAGTTCCATAGCAAACCAAGGAACAACACCAGTTACTTGCCTGCTCGTCCGCTAACAGTAATTCTTTACTCCCTCAAAGAATCCTCCACACACTAAAGGAAAAATAATGCGGAAAATGCCTGAAAATTTCAAGTGGCGTTATGAGGCACAAAGCTTCTAACCTTCGAGCGATTCATGCTCCTTGCTATGCTTTCAATAACAAAAGTGATGCAATTATGGAAACATCATGCATATGTTCCGGATGAGCTTGGAGCAAGCTGTGTACATCCTGTAGCCCAGATGGTTAGAACGTCTGGCCTCTAACAAAAGGTTGCCATTGAACACCAGCCGGGGGGATAGCACTGGCCAGTAGACAGAGAGAGACTTCTATTGCTCATTGCTGAGTTCCAATGGAGCAGCCAGGCAATGTTCTGCATTCAAGTTCCTCGAAGAAGAATCCCTTAAATGGTGATAGTCAAGTATCAAAGTGGACCAGTAAGGCGAGCGTTTGTGGTCTAGTGGTAGAATACCTCGTTGCCATCGAGGTGACCCGGGTTCGATTCCCGGCAGACGCACTTTTCGCAGGTGGCCTACGAAGTCAATTTTCAACGTTGGTGCTCCTAAAACACTGACTCGAAGCCTGCTTGCTATTATGTTATCAACCCAAGGGAACTGATGCATTACATTTGTCCACCCTACATTAAAGGGCAGCTCCACGGAACTGGCCTCGTCCGTTTTCGTCGTCCACGGTAACTTGATTGATTTGCTACTGAAGCTCAACTCTTTTCAAAGAGGAGTGCGTCATAAAGACATTCAGGTAATTGATACCTTATATGGTTATGGGGCTTCATGTGAACTCGCGCTGCTCACCATCTGCTTCAGTGCTAAGGATTTCTGCCTTACGAAACGCGGCTGGCAACACGAGCTGGAGGACCTCCCTGCTGGATGGCTACGTCAAATCAAAAACACGGTGGGAGTGTGTGTGCGTGTGTAACAACTACACAACACCGACTTGTTGTACAATAGGCCCAACGGGTAAGCCTGACCCTAGACTGAACCCTCTACTAGTAGCTTTAAAGACTCATGTTTTTGCGTGTCCGATCCATAACCTGTCTCGAGTCTCAAGGGTCACCATTGGTTAGCCCATAGTTAATTCTTCCCCCCCGTCCTGCCTGTGTGTGGTCCGACGAAGCTTATAGATGGATGCTATCGGTGGCGGTAAGTGCTGCCGTGTGTTATTTGCTTGATGATCACCACATTAGCTTGCTATTCAATAGCTGCGCCTGGGAGCGCTACTCCAAAAGAGAAAGATCATGAAATAATGCATCACCACATGTGTGCTCAGGAAACCAGGTTTTCGGGGAAGTTAAGGGGCGAGGGGAATTGAAACCTGCACGAGCAATGGCATAGGCATATATGACCTTTCTCCATACAGCTCTTTAGAAAGCTTTGCAGTTCCTTTTTTGCCTTCTTGTATGGGCATAATGCCTGAAGTCTTACTCTAGAGCTGTTTGCGCAGAGAGAGAGAGAGAGAGAGAGAGAGAGAGAGAGAGAGAGAGAGAGAGAGAGAGAGAGAGAGAGAGAGAGAGAGAGAGAGAGAGAGAGAGAGAGAGAGAGAGGTGTACAGAGCCGCTGAGATCAAACGTAAGGGAGTGAACTGGAGCGTACACAGAATGACTGTCAGTGGCAAGCATGAAGAGAACAAGACTACATCAGAA